TTTATGGTATGCAGATTATATGCTAATTTAAAAAATGGTGTGATGGAAAAAATAGGAACATGAAGGAGACAGAGAAAGAGTTGACATAGGGCATGGTTACGATTCTGATTGCTTCGTTTGCTTTCCCTACTACTAACTGATACAGGCAGGAGGCAGACAAATTCCTAGGCAGAAAAAGGTCTTCAGTGAAACCCAACCTTTAAGCTAAAAGACAGCCTGACGCCTGAAAACCGGGCTGCCAGTTCCAGGTAGAGTCCACAACCCAGAGTGAGAATGTCTTTGGTGCCTTTTAGCCAATCAAATGGTGCCTTTTTCTTTTATTATTTTTTATTTTATTTTATTTTTTAAATTATACTTTAAGTTTTAGGGTACATGTGTACAACATGCAAGTTTGTTACATATGTATACATGTGCCATGTTGGTGTGCTGCACCCATTAACTCGTCATTTACATTAGGTGTATCTCCTAATGCTATCCCTCCCCACTCCCCCAACCCCCTGAAAGCCCTCGACAGGCCCCGGTGTGTGATGTTCCCCTTCCTGTGTCCAAGTGTTCTCATTGTCCGATTCCTACCTGTGAGTAAGAACATGTGGTGTTTGGTTTTCTGTCCTTGTGATAGTTTGCTCAGAATGATAATTTCCAGCTTCATCCATGTCCCTACAAAGGACATGAACTCATCATTTTTTATGGCTGCATGGTATTCCATGGTGTATATGTGCCACATTTTCTTAATCCAGTCTATCACTGATGGACATTTGAGTTGGTTCCAGGTCTTTGCTATTGTGAATAGTGCCACAATAAACATACGTGTGCATGTATCTTTATAGTAGCATGATTTATAATCCTTTGGGTATATCCCCAGTAATGGGATGGCTGGGTCAAATGGTATTTCTAGTTCTAGATCCTTGAGGAATTGCCACACTGTTTTCCACAATGGTTGAACTAGTTTACAGTCCCACCAACAGCGTAAAAGCGTTCCTATTTCTCCACATCCTCTCCAGCAGCTGTTGTTTCCTGACTTCTTAATGATCGTCATTCTAACTGGTGTGAGATGGTATCTCATTGTGGTTTTGATTTGCATTTCTCTGATGGCGAGTGATGATGAGCATTTTTTCACATGTCTGTTGGCTGTATGAATGTCTTCTTTTGAGAAGTGTCTGTTCCTATCCTTCGCCCACTTTTTGATGGGGTTGTTTGATTTTTTCTTGTAAATTTGTTTAAGTTCTTTGTAGATTCTGGATATTAACCCTTTGTCAGATGGGTAGATTACAAAAATTTTCTCCCCAAATGGTGCTTTTTTCAGGCCTGCCCATGGACCAATCAGTATGCACTCCCCGATTCTGAGCCCATAAAACCCTTAGACTCAGCCACACACTGGGACTATCTGCCTTCAGGCTCCCTTTCACACAGAGGGCTACCCACTTTGGGTCCCCTCTTGTTTTGAGAGCTTTTCTGTCACTCAAGATAATTCTTCCCCACCTTGCCCACTCTCTGGTGTCTGTATGGCTCATTTCTCTTGGATGCATGATAAGAACCCAGAGCCCACTGACTGGCAGGTGTGAAAAGAGCTGTAGCGCTGTAGCCCTCCCACCCTCTACTGGTGCCAGATGGCTTCCCCATGTGACAGGAAGCAGTGGCAGCAGAATTTGGCCAGCCAAGGAGCCACGGGCCTGAGCAGGGTGGCAGGACCAAACAAGCTGGGACATGACCCAATTTGCCAAAGCTTGCAGATGACAGGAATGAATGAGCCGTAACATAAATGAGCTGTAATGCCTCCTGAGAGCTCAGAGCTCAGGACTCCCCAGGCAAAAGACTGTAACACCCCTTGGGGCTCTGTGGTTGCTGGCATCGTCAAGCTTTTAGGCATCGCTGCGTCTCCCTCATTCAGACATTGGCGCCCAAGGCAGAAGCCATTGAAGGCAGCATGCAGACCAGTTGCAGGCTGAGTGAAGAGCTGGTGGGCATGGTATCCAGGCCAGAAGCATGAGCCAAGTACAGCCTGCCAGGCCAAGTGGGTGGAGGAAGCCAAGCGGTGAACCTAGAGCTGAGCAAGGTCCCTGCATTGCCAGTCACAGAGTTTTCTGGTTGGCACAGAGGCACCAAAAGACTCCTGTGTCATAACCTTTGTGGAGATGAAGATCACCAACATGAGAACAAGATTTATTAATTGAGAGCTCGCTCTGTATTGTAAGAGTCAGCCACCACAACAGCTTGAGATTGGCAGAGACTCAAAGGCAGGCAAAGGAGTGGGAAAGCTTTATGGTAGGAAAAGGGGAAGGTGCATCCTGCTGAGAGCTGTCTGATCTGAGAATGGCTGGAGGCAGACTGACAAGAAGAGGTACATTCCGCATGATCCATGAGGGTCAGTATATTTGGCCTTCCCCTGTTGGCCCTAACTTGGAAGTGGGTGTCAAAAATGAGGGAGGGTCTGGATTCAGTCCTGAGCATTTGGGGCAGATCACTGCAGAGGTGTGGGTAGGCTGTCCAGGCTGGTGGCTGCTCAGGGTCTTCCTGGACTCACCAGTGAATTGAGACAATTCATTGGCCTGGAAACCACCTTTATCATCTCTGGTCAACTGAATACCTTTCCTAGACAGAGAAGATTTATTCAATGTTTCTATAACAGCTCCTGTTGGTAATCATAGTGATAATTACAATAACGATAAATAGCAATGACAATAATTATTACTTTTATATACTTATTAATATTTATAAAATGTTTATAATCTATAGTTTAATTTACATTTTGGAATTTATATGACATACAGGGCTAGGCACAGTGGCTCACACCTGTAACCCTAGCACTTTAGGAGGCTGAGGCGGGCAGATCACTTGAGGTCAGGAGTTTGATACCAGCCTGGCCAACATGGCAAAATCCTGCCTCTACTAAAAATATAAAAATTAGCCGGGTGTGGCAGCATGTGCCTGTGGTCCCAGCTGCTTGGGAGGCTGAGACAGGAGAATCACTTGAACCCGGGAGGCGGAGGTTGTAGTGAGCCGAGACTGTGCCACTGAACTCCAGCCTAGGTGACAGAGCAAGACTGTCCCAAAGACAAAAACAAAAACAAAATTTCTATAACATATATATGTATTATATAATTTATAGATAAATATTTTATATTTTATATATAGTTTATGTATAATAAAGTTATGTATTTATAGTACTTACATAATTATATATGTATTAATAATTACAATTATATTTATAAAAAACAAAAAATATTCTAATTACTATAAACCTCGTGAGTTGCTCCCACACCTGACACCCCAGCCTGCACCCTGCATCCGAGGACTGAATCTCAGTGTTAACCCTCTAGCTGCCCTTTTGCACCAGCCCCAGCCCTTCCCACCCCCATTTTACCAGGGTCAGGTCTGACCATCTAGTTGACATTCATGGATTAAATAAAAGCAGTCGCCAGCTTGTTCCTGGCAAGGGATGCAAAAGTCTTGTGTCCACAGAAGCCATCGCAGGTGGTAGGGGCACCCGGCCGCGGCTCTACTCACCTCGGGTTGCGTTTCTTGGCCCAGGGCTGGCGGAGACTGCCCGGCGTGACCCTGGCCTCCACCTTGGAGCTGGGTTGGAGGGGGCAGACCCCCACAGTCCAGGGAGGCCTCAACATTTTTTTTTCCAGAGGTCCCTGGGCCAGGGTCAGCTGTGGGTGGGGGACAGCGGCGCCCTGCAAGGTTGGACATTCTGAGCCCTGAACCCCTCCTCCATTGCCTCCCATGGGTGGGACCCCTTTGTGGACAGAGAGCTGTACTCAGCATGTTTATTGCTGTAGCTTCAACAACAAATAATCATAATAACAGAGATAGTTACAATCATGATGAGTGACAGTGAAAAAAATAACTTCAGGCCTGGCGTAGTGGCTCACGCCTGTAATCCTAGCACTTTGAGAGGCGGAGGTGGCCAGTTCTCTTGAGTCCAGGAGTTCGAGACCAGCCTGGGCAACATGGTGAAACCCCATCTCTATAAAAAATTTTAAAATTAGTCGGCCGTGATGGCATGTGTCAGTGGTCCCAGCTACTCAGAAGCTGAGGCGGGGGGATCGCTTAAGCACAGTAGGCTGCGGTGGGCCATGGTCGCGCCACTGCACTCCAGGGTGACTGTTACTCTGGGCGACGGAGCAAGACCCTGTCTCTAAAAAAATAAAAATAACTGTTCACATGTTTATTTGTTTTTCACATTAACTTATCATTTATAACCTCTACAATTTATATTTCATGTTATAGAAGACTGTATTATAGTTTATGTGATTTCATATTTACAGATAAATATTTCTATAACAATAACATTTTTCCCATAAACCTTGGGCCCCACCCCACCTGAGGAATGATTCTCTGCTTTGTCCCCGCTGCCAGTCTGGGTCCCCATGGGCCCCTACCTAGGTTGGCCCTGGCCTCTCGTCTAAGGCGGGAGCTGGACAACTGGTCGACCCAGCAGCTCGAGGCCTTGAGCTAGTCCACTGTCTCAGTGGGCTGTCCCTCGGCTAGAGTCTAAAGGGGACCCCTGGCCTAAGGCAGGCAGGGGCCCATCGATGGGAGTCTTTGGGGGTTGATGGGCTACAGAAGAGAGACCGAGCCTGGCAGACTGCTGGTCAACCCTGAGGATGCAGGGACTAACCATCCATCTCTGCTGTCCCCACCACTCCCCAACTTTGTCCTAGCCCAGGGTGCATCCTGGCAGGGTGACGAGGAGGCAGCGCATTGAGTTGGGTTGCCAGGAGGCTACCTGATCACTGCCGCCCCACAGTGTGGCTCTGGGTCCGAAGTCCTGGGGATTGAGAGGGATAGATGCATAGATGCTTGGAGCCTCCATGTGGGTGGACAAACCCCGGTGTCCAGGACTGACTTTCAATGGATTGCAGCCAGGGAGCCGTTCTGCTGCTTAGGAAACCCAGAGGCGGGTCCTTTACAAGCTAGCATCAGTTTCCCCAGGAACCTGCGTTTGCTGACGAGCGAGGGGCGGGTGCCTCTTTCTGGCAGTGCCCCTTTTCCCAGTAGGGACTCTATACGCAGATGGACCTAAGCGCAGGAGGAGGATGCCGTGCACGCAGGGTGCACCGCGCTGCCCTGGGAGGGGAATGTCTGGAATGAGATATCCAAGGTCAGTCACGCCTCCTATGCACCGCTCTATCTTCTGCCTGCCTTAAGGTCACCCCGATGGTAACTTTGCCCCATTGGTTACTCAGACAAGCAGACACCAAAAGCCTGAGCCTGCAGTTCCTTTGTCAGGGAGCAGGATTGCCATGGCAACAGTACATCTCCTGTAGGAGTCTAAATGTTACAGTGGTCTAAACCCAGCTCAAATGTTCCCTCCCATAGGGACTGGGAGCAAGAGTTGTCTCCCTGAATGGATTTCAAAGCACTGGCTCTTGGGTTCTTGAGAAAACAGCTCTGGGTGGTCGCTTTTCATCTCAAAGGGCAAAGAATGTATAATTGCAACCTTTGTAAAGTAACTATTCTAAGAGAGAGTCCGGGGAGGGGGGGCCTATCTGCCTATCACCTGGTTTGGTCTGGAATGAATTTTGGTGGCATGGGGCTTTCTCAGGCAGGCGTTTTAAGCGGGACTGGGGTCATGACCTTAAGCTGCTGGTAGCCAAGCTAGAGTTTGGTCAGGTCTCTTAGTGCAGTGATTTGGATGGAGCCATTATGTGCCAAGGGGTCTGCAGTTTTCTGCCAGCTCCTTCCTTTTCTGCAAACTCAGTCTGAGTTTCCATTTTATTCTGTGACCCTTTCTCTACAGCCTCTTCACAGAGAAGTAGCACCACTGCATTTTTAAAAAGATGGTTAATCCTTTTATAGCTAGTATCGGAAAGTCTTGTTGTGATGTGCACCGCCCCCAAACACTGAGCTGAGGAAGCTGTTCGTGATGGTTAATATTAGGTGTCAACTTGATTGCGTTGAAGGATGCCTAGATAGCTGGTGTTGTTTCTGGGTGTGTCTGTGAGGCTGTTGCCAGAGATTAACATCTGAGTCAGTGGATTGGGAGAGAAAGACCCACCCTCAAGCAGGGTAGGCACCAGCGAGGCTAGAACAAAGTAGGCGGAAGGTGGGATAAGCTGGCTTGCTGAGTCTTCTGGATTTCATCTTTCTCCTGTGCTGGATGCTTCCTGCCTTTGGACGTCAGACTCCAGGTTGTCTGGCCTTTGGACTCTTGGACTTACACTAGTGGTTGGTCATGGGCTGTTGGGTCTTTGGTCACAGACTGAAGGCTGCACTGTTGGCCTCCCTGCTTTTGAGGCTTTTGGACTTGGGCTGAGCCACTGCGGGCTTCCTTCTTCCTCGGCTTGCAGACGGCCTGCTGTGGAGCTTCACCTTCTGATCATGTGAGCTAATTCTCCTTAACAAGCTCCCTTTCATATATACATCTATCCAATAGTTCTGTCCCTCTGGAGAACCCTAATACAGTGTTAGAAAACCAAAAGGTGAGAGTGTTTAATTTGGGAGGTTTTAGGTGACAGCACATCCCACGATTAAAAAAAGGATTGCTTATATATCTGTAACAAACTCATATTACGCTAATAAACACTGCAAAACAAGCTAGTTGATATTTTTGAGATCAGATGTCTCTTAAACATCTTATTGATTTTAATATAGCTATAAAAAGGATCTTTATTTAGAAAAGATTTCTAAGACCTTTTACAGAGTAACTGCAAAACTTCTTAGCTCTTTCATTCTTAAATACTCCCTTGAAACACATTTTATTGACGTTTGCTATATTATTTCATGAAGAGCAAAAGGAAAATAAAATTAGTCTAACTAAAAAGAAAATCTAGCCTAATAGCTAATATTGGCCAGCACTAACTACACTCAAGTCCCCCTCCCGAGCATTTCACAGGGAGCAACATTTCATCCTCCCAACCACCAGCGAGGGGAGGACCATTCAGCTCCGTTTTCAGACAAAGAGCTTGACGCATACAGAAGTTACCTTGTCCACGGTCACATAGCAAGTAAAGGGCAGGGCAAAGCCAGGATGCAAAGCCACACAAGGCCACCTGGCTCCAAAACCCCTGGGTAGAAGCCAGTGGGCCACCCTGGCACAGCAGCAGGGCCTTCCTGGAGCCAAACAGCAGTGGGGAGGCTGCTCGGCTCACCTCGCCTCTCACCTCCACTTCCTGTCCTGGGCTTTTTCAGCAGCCCTGAGCACCTCTCCTTCAGGGGACTGTCAGTGGGGAGAGGTCAGGCTCAAGTTCATTTTTACATAAATGTTTTTGGTGTTAAAACTTCCCGAATGAGGCTAGGTATGGTGGTTCATGCCTGTTGTCCCAACACTTTGGGAGGCTGAGGTGGGAGGATTGCTGGAGGCCAGATGTTTGAGACCAGCCTGGGTAACATGGTGAGACCCTGTCTCTACATAAAATTAAAAACAAATGGCTGGGCATGGTGGTGTATGCTTGTAGTCCCAGCTACTTGGGAGGCTGAGGCAGGAGGATTGCTTGAGTCCAGGAGTTTGAGGCTGCAGTGAGTGAGGATCGTGCCACTGCACTCTAACCTGGGTGTAGAGTGAGACCTTGTTTCTAAAAAACAGACCACCTGAATGAAAACGTCTAATATTATGTTGACATGTAATACTGACCAAAGCCTAACTATGAAAAATAAAATCTTAAGATCATGGAAGACATATGTCTTTGAAGTATCTGTATTAGTAAAATTCATTAGTCATTTCAATTATGCTGGATTTTCCCCCTTGCTATATGCTTAGAAAAGAAGAAAAATGTACCCCTGTTCAAAAACTCATAAGAATCAAAAGAAATGTTTAAAAACTTCAAATTTTAGGATGATTTTTATTTACAAAACAGATTGGGTCTTTGTTTTACAAAAATTACAAAAAATGACTCTTAAAAATAGAGATAGCTTCTCAGACTCTTGGGAACTACTTTTAAGCAACCAAGGACTTAGAACTCAGCTGGTTTTCTTCTTTGTAACAGCAACAATGACCGCGGCTGAGCGCCACGTCAATCACTGCTGGGTGTCTTCTCCTCAAATTACACAGTCCCGAGCTGTGTCTGGTGGACAGGTCTCCACTCAGGTCAGAGTCTGAAGGAGCAAGATCTTCTCGTTAATGCAGAATCTGTGCAGAACCACCATCAGATTCTCTCCACAGCGGGAGACCTGGCGCTCCATGGCCAGGCGAAAGTCCTCCTTCACGCCTTTGGTGATGCCTCGAGTTACCGTGTGGTGCCTGAGGTCAGCAATAGGGAAACAGACAAAGACCAGGGGTTAGCACCAGCATCACTGATCGCTGCTACTTGGGTAGGAATAGAGCCTGCCCCATATCTAAGTATAAGTTAAGATCTTTTAAAAAGAACACAAGAATAGCTGCAACCAACCAAACATTCCAGCCCATTCCTTTTCAGAAAGACTTAAAACTAGACAGACATCTTTCCCACTCTATACAAGGTTATTTCAAACATTTAACTGTTCAGTGAAATGCCACCTGCTTTGCCTTTGAATCAATGAAACTCTGGTGTTATGCATCCCTACTGCTGACTGGTACACAATTCAGTTACTTAGGGCCAAATGGGTCCAGTCCATACTGGCTACAAAGAGCTCGTGTCCAGCCAGGCCAGCAGACCCTCCAGAGGCAGCAGCAAGGAGGAGGGAGACCTGAATGAGCCAATCACCCAAGTGAGCTCCCACCATGGCCCCCGCAGCTGGTGCTCCCAGAAAGGTTCAGGGCTCCTGCATAGCTGGGTCACCAGCACATCTCTCTCCCCAGGACACCAGAACAGGGCAGCTCCTCTAAATGCCGTGCCCATCTAGACTCTCATATGTTGGAGGAAACGCAGGGGGAACTGGGGTCCTGACACGAGAATGTGGCACAGGTCGGGAGAGAGAGGCAGAATCTCTGAGGGGCAGAGGCAGTGGACTGCGTGGTCCTATGCTGTCCGGGCGCTCAGGGGAGACCTGCACATGTGTGGAAGGGGTGGTGGGGACACAGGCAAAAAAGGTCTCTAACTATGCCCCAAAAGTTGTGCTTTAGAAAAAGAAATCACACATGAAATCCCAGGAAACAGAAGAAACAAAATGAAGAAAGGAAAAGAAAAATCTAGCAAAAATCAGTCAGCTCAGTTAAGAGGAAGGGAGTTGTACCTACTAGTTCAGCAATTTGGTAGACTCAGACAAATAAAAGTCACCTCTGTTTCCCACCCTGCTGCTAATTTCCCTCACACAAAGTTCTAAGGATTGAAACTGAAGACTTTTTATGTTCTGGGCAAGATAAAAGTGTTGAAATTACTCTAAAATGTTTCTGTTTTGAAAAACTTGTATTAATTATCATATCAAATATGGACAACAGGAGTCACCAAGTTGTAAAACGACAGATGAAAAAAAAAATCCAGCTTTGTTAGATAAGTAAAGCTATTACAGAACCTTCTAATGCCCGTGGATGTTTTAAAGATCTACAGAGGAAAACAGCAGGGCCGTGGGGTTAATGCGCAGTTCTTTATGACTGTCTCTCGTCAGGTCTGGGTGGGTAGCTCAGTAGTTAGGACATAGCGTCAGTGAGGTCCCACTGGGATAGATGCAAACCATTTTATGCTGCCCTGAGATACTGCTCGTCTGGGTCCCAGGCTGCAGCCTCAAATCGGGGCTGACCCTCTGACCCTGTGGAAGTTACTGGCATTTGCAGACAGTTAGCTAAAGGGGAAACCCTCCTTTTTTTTTTTTCTTTTTTTAGATGGCGTCTTGCTCTGTCACCCAGGCTGAAGTGTAGTGGCATGATCTCAGCTCACTGCAACCTCTGCCTCCTGGGTTCAAGCAATTCTTGTGCCTCAGCCTCCCGAGCAGCTGGGATTACAAGCACATGCCACCAGGCCTGGCTAATAAACCCTGCTTTTAATACCACTAAAAAGATAACTAAATGCTACATCCTGCCAATCAGGGTCCAGTTGTATTATCTCCATATATAAAGAGTGGCACAATTCAATTATATTTCTATTAGAGCCACTATCACTCTGGTACGTCTGGATGAAAAAGAGAATGAGTAAGCTTTTGTGATTTAAGAATAGGATTAACCAGCTAATAAATGTGGCATTTTAGCCTATCAAATATTTTCAATTCAGAAAGGTAAGGTCTCAAAAAACATCAGTAGCAGGAAAAAAAACCACATTAGTGCCTATTTAGATACCAGGCAACTAATTGCTAATATGACCATAACGACTGGTCACTCGTATGAATATCCACAAGTAAAAATGTACTTAAAATAAATGTCAGCATCCTTAAATGTATATGACCAAAAGCTTTAACATTTTATCAAAAGAGAATCATAGTGCACCTAAGCTAATGTGCACGTAATTGAATACAGTTTTAAATAGCTTTCATTTTTTTTCTAGATCCATAATGATTTTTAAATCGAACACAAACACACTGGCAACTTATGGAAAAAAATAAGAAATGTTACAATATTACAACCAGATGGTTTGCCAAAATGCAGAACAGATTTAAAAAATAAAGAAAGCATGAAAAAGAGCACTGAGGAACAAAGAGCTGAGAACCATGGGCAGTGAACATGTTGACAGACAGCACACTATGAGCGGGCGTTTATTCCACTTGGTACCTGTCAGCAGTCTGTATGCTGGGCTGAAGCACAGGTAAGAATTCCTGCTGCAGCAACCCCATGGGAGGGCTAGAAGGCCTTTAAAAAACAGCAAACAGCAGCATTCAAACACCCACACCGACTCACCCTGCACTGCAAAAACAACACTCCAGAGAAAATACACGAGACTGGAAGCAGACTCAACAGAAACTCGTTAACCTCAACAAGCCCCTGGCCGTGGCTGGGTGTTTAAGGAGACTGGGGAGAAGCTAGCCAGCCCTCACTGCACCCGCTGCTGCTGGTGCGTGTCCAGAGGCGTCTCGGTTCCTGGTCCCAGAGCTCAGCCCCCTTTGGAGGTGGTATAAAAAGCGACCAGTGAGGAAGAGGACGATGGAATGCAGCTGAATGGCAACAGGGAGGAGGGGCAGCCTTTGAGAAGACACATTTTCAAAGCCAGCCTCTTTACTTTCCACTCTTCTCACGGTACACCAGTCCCAGCATTCAACCTGGTGATGTCTGGTAACCATCTTTAACAGGATTGAAGCCCCACCGGAGAGGCCCTTCCAAGAGGACTAAATGGTCTGGCAATGTTTTTGATTAAAAAAAAAAAAAAGGGTGAGTTTGAATTTCAAAAACATATTGAGAACAGATGGGGGAAAATAAGAGTCCGGGACCCATGGCTGTGCAGAATTCTGTAACAACAAAGATTTAGTATATTAGCTGGTGATCACCTCATAGAACATTATTATCCACCCTGTTCAGAGTATAAGTAGGACATTGTTTTCCATTTTAATCCACTCTAATACAACTAGGATACTGCATTTATCAGCACAGAAACATTTCTCTCTTTTAAAATACTTAAGAGCAAAAGGTCTTTATAACAGAGTAAGAGCTTCTCCCTCCTTTGAGTGAAGCACCGGGTGCCTTCAGTGTTGGTACTGTACCTGCTTGCATCCCAGATGCCACAGCTAGGGCAGACTCACAGCCTTACCCCCGGGGAGAAGTGTACACTGCTCACAACATCTCTGCCACTCATCTGGAGGGACCACCCAAAAGGTCTGTAATGGCTTCAGAGAACTTGTTTGGAACCCAAAGGGAAAAGGAATTGAGACTGTTTAATGAAGAGTCCAACCATTCCTCAGTGAGGAAGAACTCTCTGCCTTAAGCAGTGTGCTTTCTACCATGTTAATTTAGGCATAAGTAATTAACCTTGAGATTCACACGGTGAAGACTCTGGGCAAGTCCCTACACGGTCAGATCACTACGGAATAATCCCTATTCCTGCTTCCAAACTGATGAAACTGCAGCCTTCCTAAGAGGCTTGTCTTCTCTAGAAAGTTACAAGAAATTAACGGTCATATTGATCAAGGTGGCAGAGCCTGGAGTTATCCCTCACTAGTTAGAAGGGCATGATGGGTATCCTTTACACAAACAGCTCCGAACGCTCTGCCCTGTGATACTAGCTGGTACCCAACACTCCCTTGCTCTCATTCCCCATCCTAGGGTTTGTCCACATGGACTTATGTCACTCTTCAGCTCAGTAAAAACTGGTAAAAGAAGAAAGGTTCAGTACAATGAAGTCTGAGGTTCAACTGTTGATTTTTTGACAATCCGTCTCTCACACCTACACTAATAGTTACGCATTATCTAGGTAAAGTGATAATCATCCGTAGGTTTAATCCTATGTACACAGACTTCGGTTCCACTCTGGCTGTCTCTGTATTAACTCATAAGGTGACTGCTGATGGGAAAATAACTAAAAAGCTTGATTCGGGCTGTATTTGTATATCCAGTTTCAAAGTCTAGAAAACAAATCACAAATCAAAAGGGGTTACCTGGGCTTCCGTATCCAAAGGTAATCTTTATCCCCAAACACTGTTAAGAATATTTTGAACAACAGAGTTATTCTTCCCATAGTTTTGATTCATGATCTTAGAAAAGTAAATGGGGATGGGAAGATACCAGTCCTTGTCCATCCTGCTTGAGCAACCCAATGCAGAAAGGTCTTGTATATTTTTAAAAAGAGCATTGTCCTTTTGTTCTAAAAGTTTATAATTTAATAACACTTATAACATGAAGGGGGAAAAAACCACTTAATCTTTCCATTCTTGAGAATGGATTCCACAAGACCCTATTCTTGCTAGACATAAAAAGAAATGTTTGCTATACAGCAAATTACTGAGGTTACGGAAATCTAAAAGGAACATTTCTTACGTCTTTCCCTCGGCATTTCTAAGACTATCAAGATAGAACAAGATGTGGAGTTTTGCTTTCAACAACTGAAAACTAGTTTATTCCATCATTGAGGGAAAAAGAAAAATGTTTTTAGTTTTAGCAGTACCTTCTTCTCATTCAGGATTCAGTCTCTTGCAGAAATTCTAACACTGACTTACAGACACACTGAATGTGCAGGAAGCAAAGGAGGAAGTATGAAAATAAAACTACACGTGGCATTTACAGCAGAGAGGATATATTACCGAAACTACAATGAGGATTGAAGGAGAGAAGCAAGATTTATGAGCTATTTAAAAATCATAAATGGTCACTAATTTGGCATTTTCATCTGGGCCAACCTGGAATTTTAGTAACATCTTGTGGGTTCAGGGGAGTATGGTGGAGACCAACCACTCCCACCATCATTTCTTGGGACAGGTGTGTTCTTAGAGGGACTACACCTGGCTATTAATACTTTGTGTTGTGTAAGTAATGAGGATTGCATAGGAGGGCTTCGTAGGTCGTTTATAAATAAAAAGTCTGTAGTTTTTCCTAAAGAATTTTTCTAACCCAGCACAATTTTAATTAAGCACAGCTGTTTTGTTTTGTTTTGTTTTGTTTTTTGAGATAGAGTTTTGCTCTTGTCGCCCAGGCTGGAGTGCAATGGCGCGACCTTGGCTCACTGCAGCCTCCGCCCCCTGAGTTCAAGCAGTTCTCCTGCCTCAGCCTCCCAAGTAGCTGGGATTATAGGCGCCCACTGCCACACCCAGATAATTTTTTTTTTTTTTTTTTGTATTTTTAGTAGAGACGGGGTTTCACCATGTTGGCCAGGCTGGTCCTGAACTCCTGGCCTTAGGTGATCTGCCCGCCTTGGCCTCCAAAAGTGCTGAGATTACAGGTGTGAGCCACCACACCTGGCCACACAGCTGTTCTTAATTAAAGGCACTCTGTGACTAATCAGAAACTTATAGAATCACCCTATAAATTTTTGAAAAGAAAAGATACCATGAATGAGACTTTTGTCCAGTGAAAAAGTTGCAAATGTGACAAAAATACCCCAATTTAAGCAAAGTGTTTTAAGAAACGTAGTTAAGGAAATGCGAGTTTTTCAAAAGATAACCCAGAATCAAACTGACTGTCAAAACAGAGACCAGGTTCAAAGTCCTTTGCATTAAAGTTTTGATAGGTATAGACATTTACAAATACTTCATACAAAGACACAAAAGGTGAGCACTCAGCGTGGAAGAGCAAAAGAGAGCATGCTTACTTGATCAGCATTCCTTGATTGGGTAGTAATTCCAGATGAATTTTCCCACCTTCCTGAGTTCTCAAGTAGGCAAATTCCTCCAGCATATCAATATCTGCAGGCCAGATTCAGGTTAACTACAGGTAAAAACAGGTGCCAGTTCTCTCTGATGAGGAAATGGGGTCTCGGCAGGTGAGTAACGTGCCCATTGCCACCCCACAAACTGCAGACTCTGTATTTGACCCCAGATCTGTCTGATTCCAAAACCTCATTCTTATACCCACCAAGCTCCCTCGCACAGATAACTCTTGGCAGGAGATGTGCCAGGCTAAAGAGCATGAGGGCAACATGTTTTCCATATCGATGATAATTAATACTACATGATCACAAGAGCAAAAGCTTTTTGTTTTCTTAATAAGAAATGAAAGAGGTGGTGAGAGTGGGGAGGATTGTTTGGTGTTACAGAACATAAAATTCATAAAAATAAAGTGATGACTTCTTCAGAGCTGGGGTGCAAGGATCTGTAGATGCATCAGAGGAGGAAGCTTCTGTGAGTCACCCAAACTTTATGCAATACGTCAGTGACATTCATGTATGCATTTTTCGAGTGAAAAATTATGTAACTTTCATCAGATTCTCAAAAGATATCTGTCCCAAAAAAGGTTAAAAACTATTACTTTGGCCTGGCATGCTAGTTCACACCTGCAGTCCTAGCTACTCAGAAGGCTGAGGCAGGAGGGTCTCTTGAGCCCAGGAGCTTGAGACTGCAGTGAGCTACGATCGCACCACTACACTCCAGCCTGGGTGACACAGCAAGACCCCGACTCTAAAAAAACAAAATAAAAATAAAAACTATTGCCCTGAGCACCTGAACAAGAATATCATTTATATTCCTTGTGATTCAGAAATAATGTAACAAGATAAGCAATGAAGTAAAAACACCCAAATTGATAACTAACCTTTAATTCAAAGATCTTTCCCTAATAAACAGTGTGAAATAAACGCATTACCTAATGTCAGAAGCAGCTACTGTGCTGTGCAGCATCTCCGGTGGGTACTCATTGGTAGGTAAGACAGTTGTGGCAGGGTGCCCTAACAAGTGATCAGAGGGCACAGCCACTGTCCCCAGAGGCCACAGGAGGCATTCTTTTGATAGATGGAAGAAGAGGAACTATTAGTATTATATTCCATGGCTAAACCAGGCAAGCCGGACCTATCAGCAACCTGTAGGCTATTACTGGAGGCATTTTGGCTACCTTCTGAGAAGTCAGCTAGCAGTGGAAAATGGAAGAGGGCGGTAAGATTCCCAATTCCTTGAATCACGTCTTTTACGACTTTCACAAGATCAACTGCCACAGCCCCGGTTTTAATCCCCATTCCTTCTCTTCGCTGCAAAATAGTAAAAATCATTATTTCTATCCGGAAGAATACATTCTTTTTGTATCATGTATTCATTCTACAGAAAATCAGAATGTGTTATGCTTAAACAAGAAAAAAGGATACTTGTAACGTAATTGAAAAAATTCTCGTATTGGAAATTTCCTTGTTGGCAAATTTTATTGACAGCTTTCAGGAAAAGATTCTCGCCCCGTGGCCACTCTTGCTGAAGCAACACAATCACATGCCCCAATGCCATGTCGTCTCTGTTGTCTGTGAAAGCTCTGAGCTGCAAGACAAAGATTTATACAAGAGAGAAGGAAAGGGAAGTCACAGGGTAATCTGAAATACACCAAACATCACTTTCCAAAAACATGCTGTCTATGCAAATGTGTGATAAAGGTCATTATAGAGTAAGAAGGAAACAAAGGCAAAACGAAATGGCTGGTAAACATCACAGCGGCCTTCTAAGGAAGGTGGATTCTAACCAAAGAAGCCTCAGGCTCCCTCTGGGCTGTGCACAGCTGCTGGCAGTGTGTGTAGGTGGGAGTCGGACATAGGTGGGCCTGAAGCTTTTGCATGTGGGAATCAGCGGTAGAGAACTTTGACTGATCCTGTGTAACGGAGAAATAAATCTGGAGATTTCTTTGAAAGGGAGCAGATGGGAGCAGAAGGTGGGCAAGAGGCCATCTAGGAGAGAACTGTTTGCAGAGAACATGGGATTGGGGAGAAGGAAAGGCGATGAGCCACAAGGAAATAAGCAGAAGTGTGAACTAGAGAAATGGTCACAAGAGTTTTTGTTTCAAATGAGCGGTTATGCATAAAATCACACTTTAAATTATTTTTGTTGCCCTAAGTGATATGGATGATGAGTTAAGTTTGGGAGTTACTGCACTGAAGTGGAGTCCCAATGTTTTACTCTCTGGCCGACAAACCTTCTAGAAACAATGAAGCCTCCCTGCTCTAAGGCTGTGCTCTACCTGCAGCCAAGGGCCTTGGTGTTCTTTCAAGTCCTGGAACTTTCTCAACTGTTGGGCTGTTACTGGTGTTTATCTCTACGCCTAACATGCTTCATCTAGCACGTCTTTACAATGACAAACTCATTATCCCTCCCTGAACCCAACCGCAATTTGTATTCCCTTTCTTTGTAGCTAATGTATTTATATTGATAAAATATTTACTAAACACTACAACAGTCAAGGTTATTTCCATATCTGTCCTACTATTACACTTTTCGAGGACGGGGAGAACTTCTGACTTCTCTTTGCCTAGCGCAGTCATTATTTAATAAAGATTTGTTAATTACTAGCCCATGTGCTTTTCTAACTGTTTGGGCCGCTCTGGAAAGTACTAAAATAACAATCCTTAACAAGGTTCTCAAGTTCTCAAGTCATGAGAATAATATTTGAAATTAAATTTTTTTCAAGCTAATCAACTTTGAGCTTACCTTAAAACAGGCTAACATTAAATGCAGGCAGTATGGCATGATAGCCTTGCTGGTACATGGCAGGAGCTTGAGATCCGAACCTAACAGAAGTCCACAATGTTAGGTTAATGCACATTATGATCAGAGAAAACAGCTTTGAAAAGCAACTGTTTAAGATGCTTTCTTTAAATAATAAAAAAAAAAAAAACAAAGAATATGCAACAGTCACACGATTTCAAATATAGTTGAAACACAATTATACTTTGTGATGGTGAAACTGGCTTTTGATGGTCTCTAGATCTCATTTATCAATATTCTTTCCTAAACTTGCTTAAATACTTTTTATGAGAAAACATTTCAAATATACAGCAAATTATATACAGAGAATATGATACACTGGTGTGCTCACCACTCAGCTTCAAGAAATGTTAATATTTTAATTTTAAACATTTCTAATATCAATAATCACAAAATCAGTTAAAGCCTATTGTGTATCCTTCTCTGATCCCATTCTCTTCCATCCCACAGGTAGCCATACTTCTGAAGGCAGTGGTTGTCATTCCTATGACTGTTACACACATAGGCAACAATGGATTGTTCTGCGTGCTTTCAGTCTACTGTATAAATGGTGTCATTTTGTATGTATCCTTCTGCAAATTGCTTTTTTACTGAACTTCATGTGGTTCAGGTTTATTAACGGATCAATATCAATACATGTAGCTCCAGTTCATTCATTTTCAGTGTTATATAGTATTCTGTTGTCTACATATACCGTAATTGATGCATCCATTCTTTTTACAGTGGATATTGACATTTCCAATTTTTCACTATTCCAATGATAAATATACATTCTTACATATTCTCATACATTTGTGGAAATAACTTTAAGCAACAGCTTTCAAAGCAAGATCCCGATCTTCCCTTTTTGGTCTGTGTTCTGTATGTCTGTTATCTTTCTCTGCTCAGAGGCAAGATAGCAAGAAATAAATATATTTTTTCACATGGGATCCTTTACACACATACTTACATAATGGGATATATCCAAAACAAAAGGTGCATGAAATAATAGTCTCTCTTCTTATCTGAGATGTCTTTTAAAAATATTATTAAATTCTATCTCATTAAAAAAGAAAATTTCTGGCTGAAACTCATGACCCAGTAAATGAAGACTCATAGCTTAAAAAACACTAATCTAAGGTATACAACTAGGAGGTGAGGTACATTTAATAATTAGGTAATGACATGTTCAACTTGGTTATGTGAAGTTGGTTTCCAGAATGGTTGCATGACTTTACACCCCTTCCAGAAGCACATGGGACTGTGTTCCTTCACATCCTAACAGTCATTGCCTCTTCAGTTTTTGCATTCTGATGTGTGTGAAATGGTAGCTTATTGTTTTATTCAGAATTGCCCATATGACAAAAGGCTGAGAATCTTTCCAAATAGTTTTTGGCCATGTGGATTTCTGCTCCTCTGAATCTGTTGTTCCTGTCCTTTGCCTATTTTTCTATGGGGATTGGATAATTGCTTCCTATTGGTCTGGAGGAGCTCTTTCAAAACTCTGGATACTAAGTTTTTGTTGATTTTGTGTGATAGACAATTTTCTGGCAATCTGTGGCTTATCTTTTCACTTTGATTGTAATAGCCTTTATTAGTATTTTAATTTTAATGTGATCAAATTTACTAATCTTTCTATTTTTAAATTTTCTTCTAAAAGTTTAGAAGTTTTGGAGTTTTTGCTGTCACATTTCAACCTTAAAATTTACAGGATGTCTATGTAGTGTGGAGGGGATCTCAATTTTTTATTGTCGTTTTTTACATTTGAATAAAAAATTGTTTTAGTACCACTTACTGAATAAATTCATTCTTCCCTCACTGAATTTTAATGTCATCTATTTCTCAGTTTTCTATGCTGTTCCACTGGTCAACCCCTGTGTCATTGCTACCCTATCTTAATTACTAAAGCTTTAAAATAAGTCTTGAGGTCAGCTAGGTCAGTCTTATCCACCTAATCAGTTTCTGGAAGGTATATAAAGTCATGCAACCACTCTGGAAGCTAACTTAGCATTACCAAGTTGAACATGTCGTTACCTAATTATATACCTTGCCTCCTAGTTGTACACCTTAGTGTTTCTCAAGCTGTGAGTCTTCACCTACAGGGTCATGAGTTTCAACCAGAAACTTTCTGTTCTGCAGAAATACTTAATTTTTGAAGAAGTCTGGGCTAGATTTTTTTTTTTTTTAAACAATTTGTTGTAGAAAACTTCAAACATACACAAAGTAATCTGCTCCAGCACCACTGGTTGAAAAGTCTTTCCTTTCCCTATTGAATTACTTTGATGCCTTCATTGAAAATCATTTGATCAAATCTATGCAGGTCTATTTCTGGATTCTCCATTCCTATGTCAATATTTTGTCAACTTTGTCTTGATTATTATGCTTGTATATTAAGTCTTGTTATTATGTAGTATAAGTCACTTAGGTGTGTCTTTTTTAAAACTTTTGACTATTCTAGATTATATAGTATTTCCACTTACATTTTAGAATCACTTTGTGAACTTCTAGCAAAAAACCTCCAAAAACCATAAAGTCTACCGTAATTTTGGTTGAAATTGCATTGAATCTACAGATACATTTGGGGAGAAATGGCACCATAATAATATTGAATCTTCTGATCTGGAAACATGATCTGTCCATTTTCAAAAATCTTTAATTTTTCTCAGAAATATTTTGTGATATTCAAAGTGGAGGTTTTGCATATCTTCCATTAAATTTACCTCTAAGTATTTTATGTTTTTATGATGCTATTAGAAACAGTATCTTAAAAAATTCATTTGGTAATTGCTTATTAATAGCATACAAATTGAATTGATTTTTTATACACTAAAATGTCTTGGAACTTTTATTTTTTTTGAGACAGGTTCTCACTCTGTCACCTAGGCTGGAGCGCAGTGGTGTAATCTTGGCTCACTGAAACCTCTGCCTCCCAGATTCAAGTGATTCTCCCACCTCAACCTCCTGAGTAACTGGGATTAAAGGCGTGTGCCACTACACCTGGCTTATTTTTGTGCTTTTAGTAGAAATGGGGTTTCACCATGTTGGCCAGGCTTATCTCAAACTCCTAGCCTCAAGTAGTCCACCTGCCTCAGCCTCCCAAAGTGTTGGGATTAGAGGCGTGAGCCAGTGTGCCCAGCCTTGCGAATTTGTGGAGATTCCCTCAAGTTTTCTACACAGCTTAATATGTAACTGTGTTAGTTTTTTTGTTTTTGTTTTTTGAGACAGGGAAATCTTTCTCTGTTGCCCAGGCTGGAGTGCAGTGACGCAATCATAGCTCACCACAGCCTTGACCTCCTGAGCTCAAGCGATCCTCCTGCCTCAGCCTCTAGAGTAGCTGGAACTACAGGTTCACACCACTAAGTCTGGCTGATTTTTAAATGTTTTGTAGAGATGGGATCTCACTTTGTTGCCCACGCTGGTTTGGGCTCCTGGGCTCAAGCAATCCTCCTGCCTCAGCCTCTTAAAGTGCTGGGATTACAGGCATCAGCCGCCATACCTGGCCAAAATATGTAACTGTGAATAAAGGTAGTCGTATTTGTCAAATCTTTATGCCTTTATTCACTTTTCCTGCCTGCTGTACTGCCTAGAATCTCCAGATTATTGAACAGAAATGGTAAGGGCAGACATCCTTGTATTGTTTCTAATCTTAGTGGGGGAAAGCATTCAATATTTCATGGTTAAGTTTGATGTTAAAAAACAGTTTCCTTCTATTCCTAGTTTGCTAAGATTTTTGTTATCCTGAACTGATATTGAATTCTGTAGGCATCTATTAAGACAGTCATGATTTTTCTCCTTCTATCTGCCAATGGAGTGAATTACACTGATTTTTTTGTTTGTTTGTTTTTGTTTTAAGACAGAGTCTCGCTCTGTAGCCCAGGCTGGAGTGTAGTGGTGCAATCTCAGCTCACTGCAACCTTTGCCTCCCAGATTCAAGCGATTCCTGTGCCTCAGCCCCCAGAGTAGCTGGGATTACAGGCGCCTGCCACCATGCCCGTCTACTTTTTTGTATTTCTTAGTAGAGATGGGGGTTCCACCACATTAGCCAGGATGGTCTCGATCTCCTGACCTCGTGATCCTCCCGCCTCGGCCTCCCAACGTGCTGTGATTACAGGCGTGCGCCACCGGCTGATTTCTGTATGTTCAAACGCCTATGCATTCCTAGTATACTTGGTCATAATAGATTGTCCTTCTATATTGCTGTATTCAGTTTGCTAATATTTTGTTAAGGATTTGACACCTATTATAGTTCATGATGGACACTGGCCTTTCAAGTTCTTCTCTTGTGATACTCTTGTTTGGTTTTACTATCAGGGTTACTGTGTCAGCCTTTAAAAATGAATTGGGACTCTTCCTCTATTTTCTGATAAGAGTTTGTGTAGAATTGGCACTATTTCTTCCGAAATTCTTGATAGAATTCACCAGTGAAGCCATTTGAACCTGAATTCTTTGTGGAAGGTTTTTGATAACAAATTTAATTTCTTTAATAGCTAAGGGAACATTCTGATTTATTTTCTTTCCTTCTTTCTTTCTTTTTTTTTTTTTTTCTTCCAGAGTCTGGTTGTGTTGCCCAGGCTAGAGTGCAGTGGTGTGATTTCGGCTCATTGCAACCTCTGCCTCTCAGGTTCAAATGCTTCTCCTACCTCAGCCTCCTGAGTAGCTGAGACTACAGGTGTGTACCACCACCTCTGGCTAATTTTTATATTTTTAGTAGAGATGGGGTTTCACCATGTTGCCCACACTGGTCTCGAACTTCTAGGCTCAAATGGTCTGCCCTCCTTGGCTTCCCAAAATGCTGGGATTACAGGCATGAGCCACCATTCCTGGCAGAACATTCTGATTTTCTATTTCTTTTTTGTGTCAATTTTGGTAAATTGTGTTTAAGAAACTTTTTCATTTCATCCAAGTTGTTGAATTTATTGGCATAAAGTTTTTCATAATGTATTATTTTACTGTCCTTTTGATTGCAGTAGGATTTGTAGTGACATTCCCTTTTTCATTTCTGATATTGGTAATTTATGTTCACCTTCCTTCTGATCGATCTTGTTAGGGGGTTATCAGTTTTATAATATTTTTCAAAGAAAACTTCTAGTTTTATTAATGTTCTCTATTTCATTGATTTCTGCTCTTAGCATTATTCTTTCCTGTCATCTATTTTCTTCAGGTTCAATTTATGTATCTTTTTCCAACTTTTTCTTCAGGTTTAATTTATGAATCTTTTTCTAAGCAACTTAGATCAGTTGTACGTTTCATTTTTCAAGCAACATGAAGCTTGAGCTGAAGCTCAGAGTGGTTTCAGAGGGATATGCTGACAGATACCTCCTCATTAATCATCTACACATTTTTCTAGAATTGTAAAGATAGGAAAAAAGAGTTCAGTAAAATTTGTCAAAGAGATAACAAACTCAGGAAGTGAAGAGAGCTTTGGAAGAAAGACATTTACAGCTGCTCATGAAATCAGAGCCAAGGAAAAACGTGGAAAGGGATTAACGTTTTATACAATTTGGCAAGCCCTGCAGCAGTATTATCTCATTAGGAACTGTAAAACATTGTTCAGCCTTGGGTCCTAAAACTATTTTTCTTTTCTTTTTAAATTTTTTTAAGAGATGGGGTCTCACTACGTTGCCCAGGCTGGTCTCAAACTCCTGGGCTCAAGCTATCCTCTCGCCTTGACTTCTGAATAGCTGAGATTACAAGTGTGAGCCACCGTGCCTGGCTTTCTAAAGCTATTTTTACAAAATAATAATAAAACATGTCACTGTACCTTTTCTGAATTTGGGCTTTACTTTTGAGGGTTCCTCCTGGGATTTGCCTCCATCTTGAATGGGTAGTACCATGTAGCACATCAGATCAAGGACTTTTTCACATGTCATCTAAAGCAGAAAAGACCAAAAAGGAACTAACCTGAAGCTTTCTGAACTGAAATCAGATAAACAAAGGACCAAAATATTTGCAGCATACAATCAGGCAGTGTGTCCATGGAGGTCTGTATTTCTGCCTCTTTATGTGATCATTACCACTGCTCAGCAGTCAATACAGAAAGAGTAAACAATAAGACTCAAATCTATGTACTAGACCTTTGAGGGAACAATAACCCATTCTTTGCTATTAAAAAACAAAACTTAAAAATTAACCAAGCATTAAGTACTGAGGTGTTCAACAGCACAGCAGCAGCCAAAAGAAAGATGTCCCTGCCTGAAAGATACTAACTCACTGCATAGAAAAACTAACACAGAAAACATGTAGCAGAGGTCTAAGGGGTATGATAGAGAGCATAAGTTAAAATGCAGGAGAAAATACGCACAGGAGAAACTAGCAGGAAAATAGAGGATTTGGAAGAAAGCAGAAAAGAGGCCTTTCAAGCAGGAGAGAAAGACACGGGGAAGGGCTATGTGTGGGTTCAGGTGATTTACTTGAGGGCCAGAGGTTTGGTCTAGGACAGAGATGAGACACTGGACGGATGCGGTGCTAGTGGAGACGAGCCTCGAGAGCCTCTGTGCAGGCTGGCCTTGATCCAGACAGTCTGCATCACCGTTCCCCCTCTATCTACTCAAATTCTCCTAACAACAATCAGATTCCATGCAGTGAATCTTTTATCTGTGTCAAGCAAACCCTTTTATTCTCTATTTTCCAGAGGAGGAAGTGGAGCTTTTTTTGTTTTGTTTTGTTTTATGCAAAAGGCCAGAGACATCTCTGGGTCTCTGGGTAATTTTTTTTTTTTAATTTTAAGTTCTGGGATACATGTGCCAGACGTGTAGATTTGTTACGTATATATGTGTCTTGGTGGGCCGGGCGCGGTGGCTCAAGCCTGTAATCCCAGCACTTTGGGAGGCCGAGACGGGCGGATCCCGAGGTCAGGAGATCGAGACCATCCTGGCTAACATGGTGAAACCCCGTCTCTACTAAAAAATACAAAAAACTGGCTGGGTGCGGTGGCGGGCGCCTGTAGTCCCAGCTACTCGGGAGGCTGAGGCAGGAGAATGGCGTAAACCCGGGAGACGGAGCTTGCAGTGAGCTGAGATCCGGCCAGTGCACTCCAGCCTGGGCAACAGAGCGAGACTCTGTCTCAAAAAAAAATAAACAAATAAAAATATGTGTCTTGGTGGTTTGCTGCACCCATCAACCCATCATCTAGGTTTTAAGTCCTGCATGCATTAGGTATTTGTCCTAATGCTCTCCCTCTCCTTGCCCCGGACCCCCTGACAGGCCCTAGTGTGTGATGTTCCCCTCCCTGTGTCCATGTGTTCTCACTGTTGAACTCTCAGAAGCGGGGATTTAAACCCATGCTTCCCAGCACTTTCCATGTTGTGGCACACCCTGAAAGTAATTTGTGTGTGGCTGCTCAGGGTTGGCAGCAATTGACCTTGGGTGGCCCCAGCAGCCCTAGGTCATGGCTGACTGCCCCAGAGGCTGCAGGATCCATATATTGGCACCTCTAGAACCCACCTAGGCCCACAGGGTTATGAAGCTCTAGTTTAGAGAGATGGGCAGCCTGGTAGTTGAAAACTTGAACTCTAGAGTTGGATAGGCCCGGGTAAGGTAAGCTGCCAATGTCACAGAGCTGGCCAGGACTTGTACTCCAGAGCTATGAGCTGCCATCCTTCGATGCCCATCTCCAGCCAATCTTTTCTATAAATCTTTCCTTGACTCTTTGGACCCAACAAAGAAAATGCCCTTCCCCGAATGTCTATTGTGCCTATGACTGAGGACTACCAACTAATATTTGGTTTTTTTCATTGTCTTATACAAATACACTTTTTTCCCTAACTCAAACCATATGGCCCTGAATGCAGGGATCCCATATTCCCCACACTCTGCTTCTACTCCCCAGCCAACAGCAGGGTTCAACACTGAGCACCAAGAAAGTCAACACTTCAATTAAGTGGAATGATGAAAGCAGTATTTTAGAAAGCGGTGACCATAATTTTATAGGGTTGGAAAAAGGGTTATAGGCCAAAAACTTAGTTAAAAGGCATGGATTTGGGTGGTGACAATAGAAATACAAGGTAATATAGCAAAGAGATTAGTATCACACTGGAAGAATCAAAAGGATTTGCTAGAGTAGGAGTCCACGAAGACTTGACAGTTTTGTGTCTAAGGGCCAGTACTATGGTCTGAATGTCTATGTTCCCACCGAAATTTGTAAGTTGAAACCTAACCCCCAATGTGAGGGCATCAGGAGGGAGAGCCTTTGGGAGGTGAGTGGATGATGACAGCAAAACCCTCATGAATGGGATTTGTGCCCTTATCAGAGAGACTCTCGAGTGCACTCTTGTCCCTTCTATGAACTAGGAAATGGGACCTCACCAGACACTGAATCTGCTGACGCCTTGACCTTGCACTTCCCAGCCTCCAGAACTATGAGAAATAAACTCCTTTTGTTTAACAAGCCTCCCACTTTTTGGTATTTGGTTATAGCAACCCAGGCAGACTAAGACAGCCAGAGAACTAAGGACACTTACATCTGGACATATTGAGTCTGGGCTAAAGACGGGAAGGCAGGAATCAGGTAAGTCCGACATTGCCCATAGGTCTAATAGTTGATATACTCAGAGGATGGAACTAAGCCCTCAAAGGGAATGAGTCTGTCTTGTTTAATCTAGACGAGTCTGTCTTGTTTAGTAGTTTATATTCCCCACTACAATGAAGTAGTACGCGGTAGAGCTAATTCTACGTGAGATACGTATGTCGGTGTAAATACGTGCTGCCTTTTAAGTTCTTAAAAGGAATTAATTAAAACTTAGAGTTAAGTAACTGATGGATAATTATATAAATAATGGTGGAAAAGCATTTTCAATTTTGAATGCTCTACACATTCTCCAACTGTTCCTTTCTAAAGATCATCAGGACAAATTAATAATCATATTTCAGAGGTCAAGTTACAAAAAATTTAGGGTTTATAATCACAAAGTGATCAACAACATATAGAGAGGTGAGAAGAAATCAGTTTGTTGTGTTATGCTGTGGCCTTGAGTTTATACAGTCCTTGAATACACAACAACATGGTTATCATTTTAATTAAATTAAAACACTTATTGTACTATGGTAGGTGTCATGAGAGTCCAAAGATAAAAACACAGTCACCACCCCGTAGTAGGAAGGGCTCAAAACCTCCTGGAGGAAACACACTCATTTATAAATCTGCTCCTGCAATACCCCTATCAGGTGTTATCACCATTTATTTTATTTATTTGTTTTTTTTGAGACAGAGTCTCACTCTATCGCCAGGTTGGAGTGCAGTGGTGCAATCTTGGCTCACTGCAACCTCTGCCTCCTGGTTCAAGTGATTCTCCTGCCTCAGCCTCCCAAGTAGTTGGGATTACAGGTGCCCGCCACTACACCCAACTCATTTTTGTATTTTAATAGAGATGGGGTTTCACCACGTTGGCCAGGCTGGTCTCGAACTCCTGACCTCAGGTGATCTGCCAGCCTCAGCCTCCCAAAGTCCTGGGATTATAGGCGTGAGCCACCGCGCCTGGCATGTTATTACCATTTAAAGAGAGAATCTGAGATTTGAGTAAGCTAAATATAAATCCTCCATTTCCCACTTAATAATGGCCTTGTTTTTCCAAGTACAATGGAACAGGCAAGAGTGTAATAATAATAAAAAGAAAAATAATAAAAAGAAAAATCCTCCAACAAATGGAACAATGAACAAGAAACTTAAAACGTACTGATGCCTTATTTCAGGGAAGCTGTAGTAAAGAGAAAATTAAGTAAAACAAAATCATTGTGATGTTCACTAGCAGATTAAGTAATAAGTCTAGGCAGAAAGATCAAATTGAAACAAACGTGCACTGAATGAAAAGCCACGCTAGGAAAGGAGAAAGCCCAGGTGGCCCCATGCACCTGTGGCCAGCATGTGTGCAGTACTCACCCTGTACTCCCCTAGTGCAAAGTGGCACGTCGCCAGCTGGATGAGTGCCCTCTGATGCTCCAGGGTCCCCTGCCCTGTGATCTGTGGCTGAGAAATGGATCCCTGGAGAGCTGCTAAGTGATGCAGGCTGGCTATCGCCTTTTTATATTGACCCTAAGAAAGATGGAATAGAAAGGAGGGGAAAAACATCGCCATTAAAAAAATAAATTTAAAAAATGCCCTTAACAGAGTTCATGAAGCAACGAACAAGCAACTTACAAAGATGGTAGCTTGGTTCCATCATCTGAGGAAGAAATGGAGACTTGGCAATAGAACCAAATCAACTTAATTAAAGCCAGGTGAGAGTTCTTTATGGCGGTACTTTATAAGGATGGAGATTTTTCTTTCTGGTCTTAGGTCTTAAGACTAAAGAAAATAACCAAGCCCTTTGACCCAGCACATTCTGGATATAACATTTCTTTAGAAATATTTTACTACAAGCACCACTTCTCCTTTATGAAGGATGGAAGCAGCAACCTGCCCATTCCAACAACACCTCATTCGTGAATTATCGACTCTCTCGGTTCTAGGTCTAAGATGCTGGAGAACAGTACAGCCAGGCAGACTCCACCAGCCCAGAGAGAAGGAGGGTGAGACGTAATCCTCTTTTACCGAAAAGTAACAGAGAGGTGTGACTGGATATACCAAAAGTAACACAGAAGGTACAGGCTTGTCATTTTGAAGTGTTTGTTTCGTTTTGTTTTTGATATAAGGTCTCACTGTCACCCAGGCCAGAGTGCAGTGGTGCTATCATGGCTCAATGCAGTCTTGACTTCCTGGGCTCAAGTGATCCTCCCGCCTCAGCCTCCTGAGTAGCTGGAACTATAGGCACATGCCACCACACTTGGCTAAGTTTTTTATTTTGTAGAGACAGGGTCTCACTATGCTGCCAGGGCTGGTCTTGAACTCCTGGGCTCAAGCAATCCTCCCACCTCGACCTCCCAAAGTGCTGGGATTGCAGGCGTGAGCCACGGCACCCGGCCCAGAGTTATTTTGAAAGGAAAATGGACCATACCCCCTCAGCCACTGAAGACAGAACAGGTGTCAGCAGGCAGTAGACTAGCCCAAGAGGGAACATGACGCATTCTGCAAGGGAAAGCTGGTTTGCCACCATAGCCACCCTGTACAGACACAGGTACCTAAAATATGTGTAATACGCTACCTGATAGATGATCATATCAGTGAGGAAGATTCTTAACCAAAGCCAAGTATCCGTCTTCCAGGCCAAGCAAATCCTTGTAAATTCTGAGTGAGAAGTCAAGAACAAATTTACCAAATATATGTAGCGCAGACGCAGAAAACAAACAAATCCAGCAAGAGAGAACAGACACAAACTACCAAAAATGCACAGCAAGTTTGACTTTGATTTCTAAAATACTGCTCTAGAATTTCAAGTAGAGAAGAAACACACAACACTTATCAGTAATACACAAGCAATATTTTGCAGACGCTAACAACTTACTGAGCACATACCAGGTGCCAAGAACTATTTAACGTGCTTTTCATGCATTTCTTCATTTATCTTTTAAACTACTTTGCTTTCCCCAAAACAAGGTCCCATTTTATTTTTATTTTATCTTATTTTTAGAGACATTCTCTCTGTCGCCCAGGCTGGTAGTACAGTGGCCCTAACATGGGTCACTGCAGCCTCGACCTTCTGGGCTCAGGCAGTCCTCCTACCTCAGCCTCCTGAATAGCTGGGACTACAGGCACATGCCACCATACTTGGCCAATTTTTGTTTTTGTTTTTTTATACAGACGGGTTTTTGCCATATTGCCCAGGTTGGTCTCTGACTCCTGAGCTGAATGATCCACCTGCCTCAGCTTCCCAAAGCGCTGGGATTATAGGCATGAGCCATCTTGCCTGGCCCATTTTATTTTGACCTAATTAAAGTAACAAACATACAATGACACTAAAAGGTTTTATTCATTAAAAAAAAAATCAATTTCTAACTAAAGGAAAGATCCCCTCTAGAATTGTCACATATGTGTTCACAATCCCACATGTAACAAAGAGAAACTGAACAGTGCTAAGTTTACTTAGAAAAGATGACACAGCACATCTGGCCAAGGGCTCTGTATGACACATGACTGCAGCCAGGGGATGAATGTCCATGGGCTAAAAGTAAAATAAGGGGCCCCGATTCCAAAGTGTAGTAAGAATACCTTAGTTAGCAAACAGTTAGTGATTTCTAAGCAATGTCAAAATACCCAGCATACTCAAAGGAAAATAGGCTTCCTATAGTTTTTGGATTTTGAGTTTTTCAAGACAATGGAGTTAATGCGGATAAAAACAGCAATACGGCCAGGCGTGGTGGCTCATGCCTGTAATCTCAGCAGTTTGGGAGGCTGAGGCAGGCAGATCACATGATCAGGAGTTTAAGAACAGTCTGATCAACATAGTGAAACCCCGTCTCTACTAAAAATACAGAAAATTAGCCAGGCATGGTGGCACGCGCCTGTAATCCCAGCTACTAGGGAGGCTGAGGCAGGAGAATTGTTTGAACCCAGGAGGTACAGGTTGAGGTGAGCCAAGATCACGCCATTGTACTCCGGCCTGGGTGAAAAAGAGTGAGACTCCATCTCAAAACAAGAAAAAAAAAAAAAATGCATGAACTACTGTAATCAACTTAATTTGCCATGAGTGACCTGACATTTCAAGTAGCATAATGCTTTTATATAAAACATTAAACAGCACCAATGACATGTGCTTTCTTACCTTTGTCAAGGAATTCTAGGGAATAGAGCAACTCCCAGCTCTCCCTGGCCAATTTAAAGCTTTCTAACACTTCAATGGAGTTAGCAAGTTCGGCTTTATTGACTACAATGTGACGATTTCTTCCTTTCGCCGAACAGTCTTCATCGTCTGAACTCTGCTTAAAGAATGTGGAGAACGTGGTTAATTCAGTTATAAATATAGTCATATATGAAACCATATTATTGCTGCCAGTTTTGCTCATGATATGAATTTTATATCAAAGGATACCACATACATACAATTTTTTTGAATTTAACAATTTAGCTTTGAAAATTAATTTTTTTTTTCTCTTTATACTCTCACACATTCCATTTTTACTTTTAAAATTGAGTGAATTTTTTTTCTGATGCTAAATTCTTATGTTTGCTTGTGGTGGTTTTGGAGCAAAGTTTAAAAATATCAATTTTATGAAAGTCAAAATTTAGATTTTTACCTTGAGAGACACAGCTTAAAAAGGACCTGTTTATAGTTTACTCTTTTTTTCTAATACGTGACATGATTTAATTGACTTCCAAATAATGGTTTGTCAGGTACCGGGATAAAATTAAAGCTCGGGGCCGGGCGTGGAGGCTCACGCCTATAATCCCAGCACCGTGGGAGGCCAAGGAGGATGGATCACTTGAGGCCAGGAGTTCGAGACCAGCCTGGCCAACGTGGCGAAACCCAGTCTCTGCTAAAAATACAAAGTCAGCCAGGCATGGTGGCACGTACCTGTAATGCCAGCTACTTAGGAGGCTGAGGCACAAGAATTGCTTGAGCCCAGGAGGCAGAGGCTGCAGTGAACAGAGATCGCACCACTGCACTCCAGCCTGGGCGACGGAGCAAAATTCCATCTCAACAACAACAAAATTAAAGCCTGCGTCTTCTAAGAAATGATGTCAGAGAATAACTGTTAGTTATCTTTGGTTCACTGCGCGTGACTCCCCTGCGCTGGTCACCCCTCTCTCGCTCTCCTCACCCGGTGCAAGGTCCTCGTCAGAAAGTACGTTTGTCTGCACTTACCTAATAATGCCCTCTGTATTTTACAATACAGATTTCTACTTTTCTTGCTTTTCATCTCAAGTAATATAAAGCCCTCAGAAAAGAGAGGGCTACAGAGCAAGGCAATTATTGGAAATACCGCTGGGTAGAGTCAGATGCTTTGCCCAAAAAAAAAAAAAAAAAAATGTAAAGGTAAAACAGCTCCACTGAATTTTATTTTGCTAAGAATTTTCTGAATCTTTTAGTCCACCTAGGTCATTTTACTGATTTAATGACCCAAATTAAATTTTTCCTGCAGATCTTTACTCCACTAAGATCGTTTAAAAATACGCTCAACCATTGTCACTAAAAGCTTCAATCCTCAAGCTCATCTCAGGTAAGACAGGCAGGAAGCTGTCATTCCCTCCCTCCGCTGCCCACCTTTCTCTCCACTTTCTGAGCTTGGTATCTTCCTGCTAGTCCCTGTGCTTGGCAGCCTTACCCTACCCCACCGTTCTGCTCCATGTTCTTATCTTCCCTAAGTAATGTTTTTGCATTAGGAAAAACACACCCTTTCCAATCAAAACCTATCTACCAGGCCAGGTGTGCGGTTCACCCCTGTAATCCCATCTATTTTGGAGGCCAAGGTGGGAGGATTGCATGAGCCCAGGAATTCAAGACCAATGTGGGCAACATAGACAGACCTTGTCACTACCAAAAAAAAAACCCCACAACCCTATCTGCCAGGTACTGTTTCATCAGGGGCCTGTTCTTTGCCTAGTAATGGCAACCTAATATACACGAACATGCATGGCGCTAGTGCTGCAGCTTACGGAAAACATTCCTGCCTCAACATAAGATCAGGAATTTTAAAGGACCCCAGATTTGGTGGGACTAGTGAGTTCCAAATGTTTTTAAATTTAGAGAAACTGATTTTGAAATGTGCAAGTACACTCTGAAGCACTGAGGGTATTCTCTGAAGCAAGAATGCACCAAGTGGGGGACAGATGCCCACAGGAGAGGCCCGTCCCAGCACCAGCCACTTGTGACGTCACACGTGCCTGTGATGTAAGCTGGCTGGAGAACTGATGTGGGCCGCCCCCCAACTCCAGTTGTGGGTTACCACCAGGGGCCAGTGTGATCAGATATCCTAACTACAAAAAGGAAGTCAGGAATCTGGATTGTTATGAGAAATGCTAGGTTTCTATTTTTTATTTTATTTTATTTTTATAGACAGGGTCTCCCTCTGTTGCTCGGGCTGGAGGGCCGTCGTGTGGTCATCACTCACTGGAACCTTGAACTCCTGAGCTCAAGGGGTCTTCTCATCTCAGCCTCTGAAGCAGTTGGGATGACAGGGGCATGCCACCAGCCAGCTAGTTTTTTTTTCATTTTTTATAGAGATGGGGTCTCACTATATTGCCCAGGTGGGTCTTAAACTCCTGGGCTGGTGATCCTCCTACCTTGGCCCCCCAGAGTGCTGGGATTACAGGCGTGAGCCACTGCACCCAGCCTGGTTTCTAATTTTTAAGTGCTAGGTTATTTAAACAAACAAAACACTGAGAGCAAAGCAAGGTATCTCTGAGCTGAGCTCATGGGCCTTTAAGGTCTGGACCTACATCAGGTTGGGGCAGACTCAGGGATAGAGTGAAAATCAGGATGAAATCAGTTAAGACCATGAAAACAAAAATGGATGGAAATCCCACATTGGGTGGAAGGCCGGGTTATGAGAACAGGGCTCGCTAGATGAGTGCTTGACAGGCCAAAAAAAAACCGGAAGGAAGAACAGCTGGGCCAGGTTTAAACAGCCATCCCCTAGCCTGCACGCCAAACCCAGGAGGGACCAATGGGAATTCCCTCCTTCACCAGATGGTCGCCACACACCTGCTCCAGCCCAGGCACTACTCAGATGCCTGGGGTATGGTACAGGACAAGGCAGAGAAAATGCTAGGCCCCACGGAGCTTGTACTCTAGTGAAGAAGTAAACCAGTCAGTGAATAAACAAGAAAACACAGATAGCAAGGAGGATGCCGCAGAGAATTAAAACAGAGGAATAAAAAGAGACCCGGACAGCTACTTCAGATGGGTGTTCAGGAGCAGCCTCAGAGGGAGACTCGTTTGGGCTGGGACCAAGTGACAAGGACCTAGCCGCGCACTGATCCGAGGGAAAAGCACTGGAACCACAGAGCACAGCCTTGACAGGCAGAGGCTGGGAGGCAGGGACGGTCTTGGGGCACTGCTTGGTCAGGTTAGAGGACTGACGATTCTTTACGTTCTCGGGCTTCTTGCATCTTTGTGCAAACTTTTCCCTCTCAACAAAATCTACCTCCCAATTCCAACTGACAAAACCGTTCATCTTTCAGCACTGATTTCAGTGTTGACCTCCTTCATGTAATCTTTTCTGCATCTGCCCACAGGCTGTTCTTGCTGCCCTGCACACCTCACAGCTTTCCATTCTGAGGCCAGTACCCCACACTGCACCCTGCTCTAGAGGTCTGATGCCATGTTGGTTTTGTTTTTTAAACGGAATCAATGCCATTCAGCCAAAACATGTGTAAGGAACGTATACCGTGGGTTCTCCACCTCATCACTGACCTTTTGGTCAGTACACCGTGAAGTACTCAGCAGCATCCCTGGCCCCTCCCCACCAACCTGTGACAACCAAAAATGTCTCCAGACATTGCCAAATGTCCCCTAAAGGGCAAATCACCTCCAGTGGAGAACCACTGACTTAGTAATTATTAATATATCATACAATTTTAAAACCCAAGCTTTATCGATTTAGCTCCAAAGCCATATTTTACAAAGATTCATCTCTAGCAAACCGTCCCATCCAATCTGTTAATAAGTATATTTGAAAGCCTTACCATGGTTTTTTCTCTTCCTTCAGCTAGTTTCCTCTTTTTATGGATGTGTTTATTACGATCAATTTCTACATCACCATACACGTTCGATACATCTTCGAGAAGAACCAGTGGAACTTGGCTCGGGGCATTAGGACCTAAGGATGGGGAAAAACACCAACACTTACAAACGCAGCAAGGAGGCCGGGCGCGGTGGCTCATGCCTATAATCCCAGCACTTTGGGAGCCTAAGGTGGGTGGACTGCCTGAGCTCGGGAGTTTGAAACCAGCCTGGGCAACATGGCGAAACCCTGTCTCCACTAAAAGTACAAAACATTAGCCAGGCATGGTGGCAGCGCCTGTAGTCCCAGCTACACGGGAGGCTGAGGCAGGAGAATTGCTTGAACCCGGGAGGCGGAGGTTGCAGTGAGCCGAGATCACACCGCTGCACTCCAACCTGGGCAACAGAGCAAGACTTAAAAACTAACTAAATAAATAATTTAAAAATGCAGCTAGGAAAAGGATACTTAAAACAAGGGAGAAGCTTACTCAACTGTCTTGACAAAAGTCATTAAAAATATGTTCAGTGGGATCTCAATTAGGTAAACAAACAAGTAGATGCACAGAAAAAAAAGACTGTAAAGATGTATACCAAATTGTTAAAGACTTCCTGTCAGTAGTGGAATACAAGTGACAGTTCCTTCTTTGTATTTGTTATGTATCTGCAAATGTTTTATAATGATCATGAGTCATTAAAGTACCATAAACAGACTACCAAATTATACTTACATTATAGTTACAAATTCCAAACAAAATCTAAATATATGTGATATTATAAGGCAATACATAAAAACAAACGCTGTATTACACTGGAAGGATTGTGGGTGATTTCACTCTTATTTCCAGTTTTCAAATTTTCTACAGTATATTTATGCATACACTCTATATATAAAATGGATATTTTACTGAATAAATCTTTGCCTATTGTGATGTCTTCATGAAATCTACTTAAATATGTTGTTACATCTACTGGTTTTTTCTTTTTTTTTTTTTTTTTTAGATGGAGTCTTGCTCTGTCGCCCAGGCTGGAGTGCAAGGTGCGACCTCAGCTCACTGCAGCCTCTGCCTACTGCGTTCAGGCGATTCTCCTGCCTCAGCCTCCCAAGTAGCTGGGATTACAGGTGCTCTCAATCATGCCCGGCTAATATTTGTATTTTTAGTAGAGATGGGGTTTCACCATATTGGCCAGGCTGGTCTCAAACTCCTGACCTCAAGTGATCCGCTGGCCTCACCTCCCAAAGTGCTGGGATTACAGGCATGAGCCACCATGCCCAGCCTGCCGTTATTTTCAAAATAGTGGCATTTGATATCTGTATTTAGTTGTGCAGTACCATTATGCCCTTTGATATAGAAACTTTTAATGAAACATACTTACATAAAAACTACCAATTAAGCCAAACTAAACAAAACCAAATCACCAACTATAAAAAGGACTGGTACCGCCCCACAGTTATTCGGATCCAACAATAGTGGATAAGCACTTTCATCTTCCTTACCATCCCCACAGTATGAACCGGCTTTTTGGACACTGTAAAATTTTCAAACCAACCTTGGAAGAGAGACGGCTGTATGCTGTTGACATATTGGAACGCATTCTTAAAGAAGACCAGCATGGTGGAATACACCACTTGGTTTTTGTATTTCGCATGTGCTTCACTATCAAAGTTGTTCATGTATCTGCAGAGATCCTTCATTCTATGCAAAATATCTCCATAGCTTCTAAAAAAGAAGGAATGATGAAACTTATTCGATTACTCTGGGCTGGTCAGCAAAAAGTCTAAAGGAAAGCTCTGGTGGTACCATTACATGTACCAAATGTTGCTGTAGGCATGTAAAACTATTCTTTATTGTCCAAGATAAATGGTAACTTTTCCCTTCTGAGTTAGGGTAGTGATCAAGATTTCATGACACAAACATGCTAAGTAGTTTTTCTCTGAAGTAGCAAGGAGAGGTTCAAACACAACATCGTCTTAAGAGTTCATATTTCAGTAAGAAATCTGTTTTTTTTTTTTTTTTTCTTTTTTGGAGACAGTGTCTCACTCTGTCACCCAGGCTGGAGTGCAGTGGTGTGATCTTGGCCTATCGTAGCCTTCGCCTCCCGGCGAAGTGATTCTCTCACCTCAGCCTCCAAAGTAGCTGGGACTACAGGCACGCACCACCATGCCTGGCTAATTTTTGTATTTTTAGTAGACATGGGGTTTCATCATGTTGGCCAGGCTGGTCTCAAACTCCTGACCTCAAGTGATCTGCCCACCTCAGCCTCCCAAAGCACTGGGATTACAGGTGTGAGCCACTGTGCCCAGCCAGAAATCTTTTGATAAAATGAAAAACCATCCTCTTTTGCATAAGTATTGAGTGTCACAAAATTTGCCCAAAAACTATACCTATGCATTATATAGTTTTAAAAAAGCATGTTTTCATTTTTATAAGGATCCAAAAGAATCAATAGGCAATTCTGGAAATAAGCTATTTATTACCGTCTTCCTTTATCCATCTGCCATTCACATCTCATTCCAACAACATTTAAAATCTTAAACAACCTCTCCCAAGGGTCCACGATCTGGGATGATTTTTCGGTCAGCCCTTCTATTATATACTTCTGAGAGCTACGTTTGCTAGGTGACATTAAATCAGATGTATCCTGGGCACCTGAGATGGAAGAAAAAAGGAACCCACAATTAACATTATGACTTATTGTTGACATGGTACCTGATGAAGAAAGTCTGACTCCCCATGAAAATGCACAGAGCACCGAATTCCAACACATTTATGTTTTGCTCAAGGACCGACAACAGGCCACTGGTATAAGCAAGAAGTAATTTCCACTACTTCATCATGATACATGTATAATGTTCCATGCAATAATGTTACAGCTCAGCCAAAAGACTGTTTTGATCAAGGGGTGGCACTGCTTCCAGGAAAGCCTCATCTTTTAACTCTAGTATTTTTTTCTAGATACCATCTTTTGAAACACTCCCAAACTGGTAAGTATCCAGAGGAGAATAATCAGAACATTGAGGGGTTTCTGAATTTGCAATTTTACTAAAGCCTATTTAAATAAAAGTACAGGATATTCCTCCTTACCTTGATGCTGATTTTCTGTTTGAGTAGACCTAGTGACATAACTGATATAAAATTCAGCTGCTTTGTTCAAGTACTTATATAATAAATTGGCAGGCAGTCGAACATCATGGTTGTTAATTATTAGAGGAAGGACGTCACAAACTGTTGGAGGAGAAAAAGAAGAAATAAATTAATTAGGTTATCTACCCTAGAGTTCCAACAGATACAAAAGCTTTTAGAGTTCATTTGATGTAGTATCTAAAATATATAGGGGGAAAATCCCTTATGACTCATGTATTCAAAATGTGCTGTGCAGAGAGAGACCAGTAGCTGGAGTCAGGGAGGAAACACACGGGCAGTTCTACGCTGTGGGTGAGGGTGCAGTTCTTCCATTGAATTCAGATGCTTCTTTATTATTATGCTTCATACTTACATATACAGTTATCATATTCTTTCAGAGGTATCAGATCTTGCATAACGGAAGTTTAGAAGTTGTTTAAAATGCTTTTTTTTTTTTTTTGAGACAGAGTCTCGCTCTGTCACCAGGCTGGAGTGCAGTGGCATGATCTTGGCTTACTGCAACATCCACCTCCCAGGTTCAAGCAATTCTCCTGCCTCAGCCTGCCTAGTAGCTGGGACTACAGGCATGCAACACCACGCCCAGCTAATTTTTGTAGTTTTAGTAGAGACAGGGTTTCACCATGTTGGCCAGGATGGTCTCGATCTCTTGACTTCGTGATCCACTCACCTCAGCCTCCCTAAGTGCTAGGATTACAGGCATGAGCCACCATGCCTAGCTAAAATGCTTTCTAAATAAAAAAAAAGAACTTAAATGCCATAACACATAGAGCTCCTTTGCCTTCCATATATGAGCTTATCCCTGAACCAACACTTACCCCAGCATATTAACTTACCATAGAAGTAATAGAGAATACAATTTTCCTTACCAAATAATTTTCTAAAGCAGTTCACAGGAGATTCTTGTTCTTCAATAGTTTCAGCCTCTAACAGTGCCTCCCCAAGGCCAACCTATTTCAAAACAAAATTAATCATTTAAATGTGTTACAGCGTAAGTTGTCAGAACTATATGAAGTAATGGGTTCTTTTTTTTTTTTTTTTACTTATCACAGTTTGTGTAATCAAACTTATCTGAGAAACAAATAATCACATTTTAAAGACTAGAAAGTAAAAGAATGCACCAGCCACACACCCTAGAAGGCCAAATTCACCTGAACATCTGACCACTCTGTCTTGGTTATTCTCTTCAGAATTAGCAAAATTCTAATTAACGATTAACAAGAATTAACAAAATGTCTATAGAAATGTAAAGGAAGCACTGGAACTGGAGGCAGAGATTTTCTAAGAAATAAAGAAACTAGAGTTTATTCTCTACATGAAGATGTATCAATATAGACAAAACGTATCATGTTCAAGATAAGTTCTCAGGAGTAGCCAGTCATACAGTCTGGCGTAGACTGGGCAGAAAGGTCAGAGTTTTAAGGCTACCTTTCCATTGCTGATGCCCTAGCATAGTAGATAGTCCCTTACCCAAATCCACCAAGACATTGGTATCAGCTTCCTTGTGACCACACAGGGATGCCTCATAGGAGTGGAAAAGTGCAAAAGGTAACATCACACAGAAGGTTAAAGGTCACAGTTATGACCAGAAAGTGTGCTGGGCTGAACAGTGTCTCCCAAATTCATATCCCCCCAGAAACTCAGAATGTGACCTCATATATATCTTAACTTTTTTTAAAAAAAGTGCCCTTGGCTGGGTGCGGTGGCTCAAGCCTGTAATCCCAGCACTTTGGGAGGCCGAGACGGGTGGATCACGAGGTCAGGAGATCAAGACCATCCTGGCTAACACAGTAAAACCCCGGCTCTACTAAAAAAATAGAAAATAAAAAGTAGCCGGGCGTGGTGGCGGGTGCCTATAGTCCCAGCTACTCTGGAGGCTGAGGCAGGAGAATGGCGTAAACCCGGGAGACGGAGCTTGCAGTGAGCTGAGATCCGGCCACTGCACTCCAGCCTGGGCGACAGAGCAAGACTCCATCTCAAAAAAAAAAAAAAAAAAAAAGTGCCCTTGTAGAAATAATTAATTAAGATGAGGTCATAGTGAATTAGAAAGGCCCTCAATCCAATGACTAGCGTCCTTATAACACGGCCATGTACACACATCTGTAATCCCAGCTACTCAGGAGGCTGAGGCATGAGAATTGCTTGAACCCAGGAGGCAGAGGCTGCAGTGAGCCAAGACCATGCCACTGCACTGCTGCCTGGGCAACAGAGCAAGACTCTGCCTCAAAAACAAACAGACAGACAAACAAAAAACAAAAAAAGGCCATGTAAAGACACAGGCACAAAAGAAAGATCATGTGATGATGGAGGAGAAATTGGAGGAGTGATGCAGCTGCCAGCCAGGGAATGCCAAAGAGCACTGACAACCATCAGAAGCCAGGGAGAGGCAAAGCAAGAGCCTTCCCCAGAGCCTTCAGAGGAAACATGGCTCTGCCAACACCTGGCTTTTACACTTCTAGCTTCCAGAATTGTGAGAGTCTTTCTGTTGTTTTAAGCTTCCCAGTTTGTGGTACTTTGTTATGGCAACCCTCGCAGACTAACACAAGCAGGTATGGAAATGATTAACCAGGGCCAGATGCCAGAAAAACGGCATGGGAAAGAATAAGCCACAGAGTATGAACCAATCGAATGAATGGTTTGACTCCTGACACCTCACTGGCTATGGGAAGTTACTAAAACATGAAATGCTCAGTTTCGTCATCTGTAAAGTGGGATACTATTTACTTCAGGGGGTTTAGGAAGATAGGAGATACCTAGCACTTACCCATGCCTGCCAGTAGCACTCAATAATTATTATAGATGAAGGGCAGGAATAGAATGAAAACAGTCTCCATAGGGCAGAAGCACAGGAAAAACGCATCTGTTAAAAGACTACAAACTGTACCCTAAATTCAAAAGCACATTGTAGAATACAATGGAAAAAGATTACTTTTTACCGTACGGATTGCAAATAAATAGTACCATCAGAGCTTGGTAACTTTTCTGATAAAACAGCTTCTCCTGGAAACTTATAAAATTTGGTAAAAAGAATGTCCGTTTAGCTTTACTAACAAAGAACCTTTTATTTCAGTTCAATCTTCACCAGTGCTCTTCAGAAACTTACGCTTTGTAGCTCCTCACCATACCGATGAATCTGTTGATGACCCATTGAATTTTATATTAAGAGAAGGGGAAGAATAAAATCTCACCCCATGTTGCACCACCGTTTCAGGGAAGCGCCTCAGAAGTAGAAGCAACATTTCTGATCGTTCTAACGTGTTGAAGCATTGTTCCGTGACCTTTAGTAACATTTCACACTGGACCCGACCAGGCAGAGTTTCAAATAAACCTGTACGAAACATATTTCACTGTTAAAAGTTTCTTGCGGACAGCAAAGACTGCAGCAAAAGTGCTGAGTAAGGCATTTTCATCTACAGAACAGTAAACACTACATGTGAAATCAATGTGGTTAAGTTTTACCTACAACCTGGCAGCCTTTTGGGGCCAATAGTATCTGGCACAGGATGTTTGCTGAATAATGGTAAAATATTTGGAAGACTGATCAAATTCAAAAAACAATGACGTATGTGAATGGTCACAAGAATGCCTGTTGCAGGCTGAGATAGAGAGCATGTGCTTTTTGAAGCTGAAATGACCTAAACATCTACTTCTATTTTACGCAGAATTTGAAATCTTTGATTGACAACAGCAACATGGAGAAGTTTAAAGAGGAAGCTTCTAAATTACTAAAAGCTTCTCTCCTGTTTTGTGGAGAGCTGGTTAATCTATAGCTGCTATCTGGTTACTGTAAAACCTGTTAAAAATATATACAATTAATTCCTTGTCTCACTGACAAATCCATATCCTTTAAAGAAGCTTAAAGGGTTCTAAGCAAATCAAGGAACTGAGTGACATTATTATAGACTTTGGTTGCCAAGAATAAAACATACATATGGTTATCAATACCCCAGGTGTGACTTTTGTGTGTGTGAAATTACTATCTATGATTTGGTATTCCAGAAATGGTAACTTATACACCATTATTCTTACTTCTTAAGAATTGGGTTTGTTTGTCCTGTGAATCATTCCTTAATGCTGATGTAATAATGCTGATTTCTCTCCACACCACCGGCTGGTCTGGGAAATTCACAAACCTATTTTTAAAATAAATACATTAAATTAAAATGTCAAAGTCTATACAGTATCCAAAAGAAAAAACATTAGCGTTTGGTGAAAAAGTTTCCTTTATTCCAAGTGAATGCTTAGACGGGCCAAAACAAACCAAAATAAAAATGTAAAAATAAGAATTACTTGATTTATAAAAATGAGAGTACTCACATAAGTCTTTAGTGGGATTTATAGGTGAAAAGACAAGTAACCATAATATAGAAAGAAATCCGAAAAGTCAACAAGAATAAAACAAACTATTCGAAAGAAAAAATAGGCAAAGGCAAATCACAGAATACACACAGCCAAAGAAAACAGTTGAAACAATACTGAATCTTAGTATGAGTAGTACATATTTTTTTTAAAAATAGCAAGATACCATTTTCTCCTATCACAGTGGTAGGAACTAAAAGGAGACTAATAATATCCAATGTTGGGAAGGGCATGGGAAAACACATTCTTTATATACCATTGGTGGTAATGTAGATTGGGATCACCCGTTTTGGAGAGTAATTTCATAATGTATCAAACTTTCAAATGCGCATAACCTTTAACTATGAAAATGTCTTAGAATCTATTCCACAGAAAAACACCAAAATATGACTACAAAATTGTTGACACACTGAACACAATTTCAAATAATTTAAAACTATCTATTTAAATGTCTACCAAGTCTAAAAGAGTGGCTATGAAATACTACATAGGCATGAAAAGGAATGAAGTGGATCTCCACATACTGATATGGGAAGGGATCCATTACAGTGAGTAAAGGAAGCATGCTGCAGAGCAAGGGTCGTATGGTCTCACTTTTGTCACCTCTTTCCCCCAAAAACCTATTTATGTATTATGTATATATGTATAGATAGACTGCCTACAAAACTTAATTCTGGTTGAGTTTAGGAGGCACTTTCACTTTTTTATCTCTATAAGAAGTAGTGTTTGAATTTTTGCAATGAGCACATATTCTTTCTAGAATAAATTATGGAACAGAAGTTTTAACAAGGATAAAACATAAGAATAACAATTAAACTCTTCTGCAAAAGCCATGTCAGCAATTTATGGCAGACCTGGACTCCTTACTAGGTTTGCTTTAGGTATCGAAGATGTAGATGAACTTGAAGATCTTCCCCCAACTCCCACTTCTGCAGACAGAAACAAAACCTCATGGAGAGATGCAGTGCAATAAAAGTGATGACAAGCGTCCCACTCACATGTCGTACAGCAGCCTCCCGGCGGTGGCGGTCCTCTCTGCATTCCGTTCGATGGTGTACATCTCATACTGCAACACACATCAGGTACCCTGGTCATTCACCCCTGACTGGAAGGCTCCCAGCTCATCCAGCATCTCTTATTGGCCCTCCCGCGGGAAGGGAGGCCCTGCGAGTGAAGCTCCGCCTGGTGACACACCGCCACATATATGGCAGCCTTGTCATTCGGCTTAGAGTGGGACCCTGGGGTTCACTTGCAATCTCAGGCTCCCAGGATTAAGTGGAATAATGTTTCCAAAGTCGCTGGCACTGAACAAACTGCTGCCATTATGATGAATGAACGAGCGAATGGCCTTTTGCTAGTGGCGATCATGTGCTGTCTAGGCCAGATGGCAAGCAGGGCCCCAGGGACCCAAGCGCACCCGACCTCAAGCGGGGTCGGCCGTCTCTCAAGGGCTGGGGAGAGGGCTCCTGGAAGGTGTAGGAGCAAGGCGGGTGAAAGGTGTAGGAGCAAGGTGTAGGATGGGAGGGGAGAGAAGATGGAGTGGGAGGGGAGAAAAGAGGGGGCCGGGCAGGAGGCGGCTGCCTCCAGGCAGGCGCAGCTCTGGGCCCGGGCAGCCGGAACGCGCACCTCCCCGCAGGGCGGCCGCATGCACTGCCGGGACCTCACCTGGATGTTAAAGTCTGCGGGGTAGAGGCTGCGGGCCGTGATCAGCCACGCCTTGGCTGCCCACAGGTCCTGCGGCACCAACTCCCGGGCTCGCTGCACCAGGAACTCGCAGTCCCCCTGGGCCGACATGACGCGGGCGCTCTCCAGCCGCCAGCCCGAAGCGGCCGGAACGTCCGGCTCTGGACACTCAGCCGCCACGGAATCCACTGCCGCCACCGCGGGGGAGGCTACTGCGCATGTCTGGAGGCGCTCAGAGGCCCGCAGAGTGGATCGGGAAAGCTTTTCCGGGTTTTACGAGCCGTCGCCTCCCCTTGGCTCCCCGTTACCGCCCGGTCCCCTCCTCTTCTGAGAAGCTGGAACATTTGAACCGCTTCCAGGTCACCTCCAAAATGCGGAGAAGTGGATTTTCATTCCTGCGGGCTGCAGCGTGACCCTGGTGAAGTCAGGGAGCATGCGCGGGAGCGGGCAGGCGCTAGGCCACTTCGCCATTTCCATCCTCTCTGGGGCTTGCTCAGTTTGGCGGGGGCGGGAGCGGGAGCGGGGGCGGGGGCGGGGGCGGGGCGGGGGCGGGGGCGGGGCGGGGGCGGGGGGGGGGAGACGGGCGGTCCCGGGGGATGGGCGGTCCCTGGGCGTCCCCGCGGCGTGGAAGGCTGGGAAGAAGTTTGAGAGGAACAGCAGAGAGTGTGGGGGAGGCGGCGGAAAGCACTCACCACACGGGCCGGCCTGAAACGCCTTCCCCGGGGGGCGCTGCCTGCGACTCACTCCCCGGGCTTCGATTTACGCGAAAACTCCTGGGGCTGGTGAGGGTGATCGTGCAAAGCATCAGCTCGGGAGTTCCTTCTCTTTCCGAAATCCGTCCACGTTTTATTATTTCATCTTTATTCGCCGGTTTCTCCAACAAACGTTTATTGAGCAATGAAGTACTTGGAAAGCTCTTTGGTCGGTTCCGTCCGTGAGAGCTGCAAAGATGACTAAATCCCTGACCCAGCAAGGGTTTTTAAATGTTTGAAGTGTTCTGGACGTGAAACCCACAGAAAGATAACTACGCTATTATTATAATTATCTCCTCCAGCCAGAATCAATGTCTTTTTCACCAAAACTCCAGATTTGTTTTCCATCTAAGAGATGAAAAACACCTAAGAGATTCTCCCATTTAAGAGATTCTCCTGCTTCAGCCTCTTGAGTAGCAGGAATTACAAGCGTCCGCCACCACGCGCAAGCCCGGCTAATTTTTGTATTTTTAGTAGAGATGGGGTTTCACCCTGTTGACTTGGCTGGTCTGGAACTCCTGACCCCAGGTGATCCGCCCGCCTCCGGCTCCCAAAGTGCTGAAATTACAGGCATGAGCCACCGCGTTGGGCTTCAAAGCACTGTTTAATATCCCCTAATTATGCACAAAACAGCGTAACTGTATGATTATAGGCCAGGATTACTCAGTGATACCATTATTTGGGCCTTGTAGAATAGAAGAAGTTAGAAAATTGGATTTAAACAGAGAGCAGGATAATTTTGATCTTATAAAGTGTAGAGCATCAAAGCAGTTTGCTAGCTTGAATTTTAAAAATTATTTCATTGATGTTAATTATGAAGTGTAAGAATTTTTAAATGGTAAAAACGACTGATTTGGTCATTAAACTTTCTGATTTTGGTCTTTACCAAAAATAAAAAAACTCCACACTTGTTCCTGAGCCTAGTGTTCTGTGGAATAACAATTGTAAATTAAGGCTTTAAATTTAGAGGCTAAATAAGGATATTCTGTTTTCGTTCGTTTGTTTGTTTTTGAGACAGAGTCTTGCTCTGAAATCCAGGCTGCCACTGACTGTGGGGGCTCGATCATGGATCACTGCAACCTTGACCTCCAAGGCTCAAGCCATCCTCCTGCCTCGACCTCTGGGGTAGCTGGGACTACAGGTATGTGCCATCACATCTGGCTAATTTAAAAATTTTTTTTAGAGACAGAGTCTCCCTATGTTGCCCAGACTGGTCTTGAACTCCTGGGCTCAAGTGATCCTCCTGCTTCAGCCTCCCAACGTGCTGGGATTACAGGCGTTGAGCCACTGCGCCCAGCTTCTGTATGTATTTTAGATGCCAACCTTGAGAGGGCCTCCAGACTTTTTGCCAGAATACAACGTCAGGTTTGTGGTTGTTTTGTGGTCAGCTTCTTGATTTTGAATGGTCGCCAGCTAAACATTTCTCCTACAGTGTCATGCTGGCATCTCAAAGTACGGAAGGGAGGTACCATAGCAAGTGAGTTTACATCTTTTGGCCTCCTTGCTGTGATCTTGACTCACTGGAGACTCGAGGCACCTAGCTCATGTTCTTCTCCATGACAACTCTTTTTTTTTTTTTTTCCTTTTTTTTCTTTTGAGATGGAGTTTTGCTCTTATTGCCCCAGCTAGAGTACAGTGGTGCAATCTCAGCTCACTGCATCCTCCGCCTTCCCGTTTCAAGTGATTCTTCTGCCTCAGCCTCCCAAGTCACTGGGATTACAGGTGCCCGCCACCATGCCCAGCTAATTTTTTTTTTTTTGTATTTTTGGTAGAGTCAGGATTTCACCATGTTGGTCAGGCTGGTCTTGAGCTGCTGACCTCGTGATCTACCTGCCTTGGCCTTCCAAAGTGCTGGGATTACAGGCGTGAACCACCGTGCCAGCCCTTGACAACTTCTAAGTCACGTAAAATGCCCTCCATCCAGCACCCGGCTTCAATTTCCATGAGCTCAGTTCAGTGATTTGGATTAAACTCTACATTGCTTTTCACCTTCCACGTCAAAATCTTCAAACTCCAAGTTTCCTCACATAACCTCTTAACTTCCCTGCCCTCGACTCTCTCCTTGGTTCTTTTTAATAATTTCCTCCTTTCCCTTCTCCCTGATTTTACCTTCATGGGCCTCTATCCCTTGACACCTGCATTTTCCTCTGAGTGTGTCTGCCACCCTTTGGGCTTATTCCTCTCCCACTCATGCTAAACTCTGTGCTCAGACATTCAATATGTTCACGTCTTTGCCTTCTTATCCTGCCACTGTATCCACTTTTTTTTTTTTTGAGACAGAGTCTTGCTGTCTCGTCCAGGCTGGAGTGCAGTGGCACAATCTCAGCTCACTGCAACCGCCTCATCACCGGTTCAAGTCATTATTGGGCCTCAGCCTACCGAGTAGTTGAGATTACAGGTGCACGCCACCATGCCCAGCTAATTATTGTGTTTTTAGTACAGACAAATTTTTGCCGTGTTGGCCAGGCTGGTCTCAAACTCCTGGCCTCAAGCCATTCACCCTCCTCAGCATCCCAAACTGTTGGAATTACAGGTATGACCCACCGTGCCTGGCCCTTAAACTGCCAAGTTTGAGCACCACAGTGCTATTTATCTTTCAAGACTGTACATCTGATCATATATGTGTTTTTGTTTTGTTTTGTTTTGTTTTGTTTTTAAACAGTGTCTTTCTCTGTCATTCAGGCTGGAGTGTAGTGGCATGATCATGGCTCAACCTCCAGGCCCAAGCAATCCTCCCACCTCAGCCTCCCAAGTAGCTGGGACTACAGGCATGTGTCACCACACTTGGCTAATTTTTTTTATTTTTTGTAGCAATAGGGTCTCACAATGTTGCCTAGGCTGGTGGTCTTGAACTCCTAAGCTCAAGCAATCCTCCTGCCTAGGCCTCCCAAAGTGCTGGGATTACAGGTATGAGCCAGCACAATGGGCCCAGATAAGTATTCTTTTTTTTTTTTTTTTTTTGAGAGGGAGTCTCACTCTGCCACCCAGGCTGAATTACAGTGGCGTGACCTCAGCTCACTGCAACCTCTGCCTCCCAGTCTCAAGCAATTTTCCTGCCTCAACCTCCCGAGTATCTGGGACTACAGGCTTGTACCACCACACCAGGCTAATTTTTGTATTTTTAGTAGAGACGGAGTTTCGCCATGTTGGACAGGCTGCTCTGGAACTGCTGACCTCAAGTGATCCGCTCACCTCAGCCTCCCAAAGTGCTGGGATTACAGGCATGAGCCAACACACCCGGCCGGTATATGTATTCTTAAAATCCCTTTAATAGTTTCCAATTGTGCTTCCATGGGGTTTGCAGCTAGCTCTCTGCCCCATCATTTGCTAGGAGCCTCTACCCAGAAATTTTCAGTTCTTCAATGTAGTATATTCTTTGTCATTAACACACATTCATGTGTACTATTTGCTAATATCACCTCTGTCCTGCCTAGAACACTGCCCCCTGCTGGCCTCATGGGCTAACTGAGTTTCAGATAACGCTTCTCAGGGAAACCTATTCTGCCCCCACCCTCCTCTGTTCCCCAGTCCTTATGCTGTTTCATAACTGACAGTTTACCAGACAGTTAACTCCATCAGGACATGGACCTGACCTGTCTTTTATGCTGTGACTTTCCCAGCCCCTAAAACATGCCTGACACTTATTGATAGTAGGCTGGCAATTTAGCCTAAAAATTTAGGTGAATTTTAAATGTCTTGACCCTTTGCCTACAAATTTACATAAAGCCTCTAATTTTATACCAATTTCATCCTGTCTAGTTTCAAGGGATAAAGAGTCCCTTTTGTTCAAGGCCAAAATCCTCACCTGTGCTTCTAATCTCATACCCTTGGCTTCCTTAGAGAATCTGTTATCAGTTATCACTACTCTATAGTTTCTATTTCTCCTGGTACCTTCCAGTAGAGTATGTGTTTGCGTTGGATTACTGCTGTTTCCCATTGACTACAGTAGATGTCGTGTGCCCTGCTCAGATCGCCTTTGCTGGGCAGTACAACCACTCTCTACTGCTGTCAGTATTGACTGCTAACTGCTCACAACTGCTCCCTTCTGTAGAGACCTGCCCTTAGCTTCCTGGATGAGTTAGCCACTCCCAAGGGGGTAATACACAGTAAAAAGATTAGTGACCCTGCTTCAAAGGGGGCAAATGTGTGACATAATTTGTATTTCAAAGTCCTCTCTGGTGGATGGGGCCAAGGCTGGATCTGAGACCACACACATGCTCGGCTCTTTCCTCTTCTCTACTCTTCTTCCCTGCTTTGTAGGTTTTTCTTGACAAGCATTTTCTCAATAAATCATGTGCTCCCAGATCCCTGTCTCAGGCACTTCTAGGAAGCCCAAACGAAGATGATAGTTATTACTGGACAGACGTGAGGTGCTTCCATGAATCCTCTTATGTTCCAGATATAGTCCCTCCTGCATCGCTCATGTAACAGCAGCTATTTCCCCTTAGTTATCAGGATCAATCGTCTGACCAATAAAGTAACCCCTTTCTTTTGCACCTGTTAGTTCCATAGTATAAGAAGCCCAGGGCCAGGCGCGGTGGCTTACGCCTGTAATCCCAGCACTTTGGGAGACTGAGGCAGGCAGATCATGAGGTCAGGAGATCAAGACTATCCTGGCTAGCATGGAGAAACCCCATCTCTACTAAAAATACAAAAAATTAGCCACACATGGTGGCACACACCTGTAGTCCCAGGTACTTGGGAGGCTGAGGCAGGAGAATCGCTTGAACCCAGGAGGCGGAG